CAGGTCATATGCAATTAGCATTTGTTCTTAGAAATATATAACAGGTGAGATTTTTACACCAATCTTCAAATACCGCCTCTACTCTGTTTTATGACTTTAACAACAAAAATAATAAGATAAGGAGATAAGTTTCTCATACATCTCCTTGGTTAAAATACGCCATCACACTTTGTATTATTTACTAAAAGATTTGTTGTTTAAAACTACTCTAATCAAACGTGAAAAAATTATAATTCAGTGATTCATATTGTGGAATTAATCAAAGGTTTAAGAGCACATATTTTATGATTTAAAGTTACTTTTGGTGTAAAAAATCTAAGAGAAGAGGTTATGAAGTTTTAGAAAAATCGAACGATTGCCGTACCGTCAACATACCGACCGTGTCTAGCAGACAAGATATTTCAACTTATAACAGAAAAAATATGATAACCCGATGCAGTTAATGATTTAACTTCACTGACTACTGAATTCAGCAATATAATACTTCCATTCATCATGAAGATTTTTTCTGCACATTTCTTGAAAGCTACTCATACAATGTCTAAAGACAAATATATGTTAAATATTTCTAATCTTAAATCTATGTTGCATTATCCCAGCCCATCATCCTGAAACCGAACAAGTGACCTCTTTATACAGGTTCAAGTAAGTCAATCTAATGACCTTCTACATGTTCAAACAAACGTTCAAATGTTGATCTCTTAAGTTTCTCCTATTACGTGTGGTCCCTTTCACACCAGGTTTTTATTGATAACGTTTTCTCTTAACACATATGATGAAGAAATAATTCTGTTTCTAAACAATTTTAAATGCTGAATTTCGGAAACATTTATGCATTTGTCGGTTGTATTAACGCTAAAATGTTAATTGTCATCTTGTCTCTACACATCCAACCGAAACACATTATACTTATGTGAAGGTTGGATATACAAACCTAAAAATATAAATTACCGGGTAACTATATCGATTGTGTTAGCCAGTACAAAACGATTTCATGATATCGTCAACGTATTCATCATCCAGATTTCAAACAGTATTTGTTTGAACACTGGTTCTGATAGTTATACAGATATGACGAATATTTCTGACTATGAAATACACACATCATTATATATATCCAATATTATTCATATCTAGAAATTTTAACATTATGAACATTAGAAATCAACTTATTTTTTTTCAGGCATTGATAGATTTATGTAAAATTTTTGGCAAGCAGTCACCAAGGTTTACATACTAATTAACAAAGAAATTGATAAGAGAATCATTTTTCAAACAATAATTGTCATATCATTAAAACACAAAGTTCACATGCTGCCAATTATAAAAAAACTAATTATACATAAATGATACTGCCGTAATATTTCTAAACAACGACGTTCAATTCTTCAAATGTGTTTGCTTTACATAAAAGCTCTAATGTTCATATAGATTGCCGCAGTAAGACAAAACTCTTATGTTCACATAGATTGTTGGGGTAAGACATGTTTTTGATTTTGTGACACTTTCTCTTGTATCAGTACAAATGCTAACTCTAGCTAGGTTTGTATTAGCATGAATTGATGCTAACTGTAATTAAGTTTTGATCAGCATTTAAATGCTTACTATAGTTAAAGTTTGTGTCAGCTTAAATGCTAGTTATAGTTAAGGTTCGTGTTAGCATAAATGCTAACTCTAGTTAAGGTTTGTCTGCATAAATGCTAACCCTAGTTAAGGGTTGTCTGCATAAATGCTAACTCTAGCTAAGGTTTATATCAGCATAAATGCTAACTCTAGTTAAGGTTTATATCAGCATAAATGCTAACACTAGTTAAGATTTATATCAGCATTAATGCTAACTCTAGCTAAAGTTTGTTGGCTAACTCTAGTTAAGGTGTCTGATTGTATGGAGGTATTCATATATTTCAATATCAGATATTAGAATATTTACTTTGATATTGTTACAAGAAAAATATGAAACTTTAAGCTTCATCTGTAAATACAAAAGGTGTAACACCTAACTTTTTACAATATCTAGGCACCATTCAGGCATTCAGCAGTAGAATAAATTTTGTTAGTGTACAATTTGAAAGTCTTGATCTTGAGAAAAAAAAAGAAAAAAGAATAAGTGACTTCAGATTTTTTTTCTTGAAAGGCAACAAGATAGCATTTTAAATCGAGCTCGAATCTTTGAAATAGTCAGAAATGTTAAAAAATACAGATTTCAAGTCAAACAGTTTTAACTTTGAATAAATAGATATCGCACCGAAATTGCCACAGAACAAATTGTCGTCGGAGAAGTTTATATCAAAAACATTTACATAGATATATAGAATTCATCTCATCCAATGTTTGATTACTCTGTGATCTCGTAAACACAACCTCTAGTAACACCACATGATAGTAATACCACAAAAATAGGTCACTGAAGAGAGAGATGCATCAAAATAAAGTAAACAATATCTCATATCAGAAGGGTAACATTAATCTGTGGTAAACTGGATACAAAAGAAAATCATGCATTCTACTGGTGGGCATTCCCAACCTCCAACGGCTGCAGAGTTTATTGCAGTACTAAAGCAAAGGGAAGCAACTCATATATTTTCCTACCTGGTTTTAAATCAATCCTTTTCTGTGTCAAACTGAATATGGAAACAACACATTTTTCCAAACACATTTCAGTTGCATTTCAAATTTTCCTATACTTTGAGAAAATGACACTATTTATGTTATTTGTTTACCATGGAATGAGATAGTGTGGCCCTATAAGACATTAATTTAAAATGGACTTATATCTACAAGGTTGATTTAACAGTCTTTACTAAATTCCAATGTGACACATCCATAAATAGTATCAAAAACATACTTCTTTCTTTTAATAATTAAGACAATACCACAAAGATATCATATTCTGCTGTTGATAAAGATGTTGATAAATATAAAAAAACGGTTTAAACTCAAAATGTCAAATAAAAACACAATTTTTTAATTAACTAAATACATGTATATTCAATGAAATGTTTTAAGTGTATGGTATATTTGTTACTTTGCACTTCAAAATGAATAAGTTGGGTTTTTTTACCTCATATGTACTGTTTTCATGTTGCATTGGAAAATCTATTGGTAGCTAGGTAACAAATTTTGTTCTATGGTTTTGATTAGGTAGAAAAAATGTTAAGTAGTATGACTCAATCAGTATTTCTCTCAAAAATTGCCTAAAAGGTTTACAGTATACATAAAAAGATGGATGGGGGAAGCAAGTTTAAAGTTAGTTTTATTTGAAATTACCTCTAATATCAGAAACGATGCAAAATGCACCACCAATGCTACAGTTAAAACATCTATAATTGTAAACAGGCAAAAACAAAAAAAAAAGGCATCCCAGAGGGATCCTGGCACCCACCATTGTTTGATCTTTATATGCTCTTTGAAAGTTGGATCATTTCCATTCTTTTCTCTTCTCTTCTCTGTTTTTGCTCTTGATAATAAGGCATTTGAACATTCCTTTGCAGAAATAGTAATGATAATCTTTACCTGCTAAATCCAAAATGGCATCCTGGAAGCCATTTTGTTTCTTATGATCAGTCCCAAAATCAAAAAAGCACACCGAGAGACCAAAGGGAATGTACAAATGAAATTTGAGAGATATCCATTCAGTACTCCTTAAGAAATGGCAATAAATATCTTTACTAGGCAAAATTCAACATGGCTGCCTCTTGGCCACTATTGTTTTCATGATCAGTCCCTAACTCAAACAGGCATAACTTGGGACCTAAAGGAACATATACATGAAATTTGCGAAAGATCTGAAGAGTATTTCTCAAGAAATAGTGATATAAAACTTTCGAAGTCAAAATTCAAGATGGCCGCTGGTTTTTTTTCTGATCAGTACCAAGATCAATCAGTCACAACTAGGGTGCGTGGGGAACCTACATACGAAATTTAAGAAAGGTACATCCAATACTTCTCAAGAAATAGCGATAACAAACTTTCAAAGCAAGACTCCAAGATATCCTCCTTATGGCCAATTTAATTTTACTGATCAGTCCCAAAATAACATGGGCACCACTAGAGACCAAGGGGAATCTACATATGTAATTTGAGAGAGATCCATCTCTTCTTTTCAAGAAATAGCGATAACAAACTTCATTGAAAAAATCCAAGATGCTTGTCTGTCGGCCATTTTGTTTTCTTTATCGGTCCCAAAATCAAACAGGCAGAATCAGGGACCAAGGGGAACCTACATATACAATCTAAGAAAGATCCATCCAGTGCTTCTCAAGAAATAGCAACAACAAAAATTGTTTACAGACAAAGGACGACCATGGGCGCAGAACGATTTGAATCGTCAGATGGTGGGCTAAAAATAAACACTTGATATATTTCTTTCAAAACTTTGTTTTATAAACAGGCAAGTAGCAGCACTTTCAGCTCCAGAATGTCAAATATATTAGAACTCTTTCTTGTTGTAGATATAATATTTACATGGAGGATATTGCTCTAACCCCCAACAGAAAATCTCCAGGCATAGAAACAATAGATAAATACCAAATATGTTATGTAAAGTCATATATATCTGTATCTCTATAAATCCCTACAATATTTATCAATTGATACAAGCACTGATGCACCAGTGGCTTTGATATTGAAAATGTCTGTCAAATGTAACTTGATTTTGAAGCAAGATCTATGATGTAATATATAAGACTGTGATAGCATCATCCTTGGCCCCAGGTGAAAATCACACTATCCTTTATCAGGATAAGTGACGGTGTAGTTTTTACGACCTGCAGATGTGATTGTACATACAAGTCTACATAACAAGATATTAAGTATTTCTACTTAGAGAATAGGAAATGTTGTAAAACTCTCTTTCACTATATCACCTAGTAAGGGAATCATCTGTATGTTCTCACATAATCTTATAACAGTCCTCAAAGATCTTTGTCTACAAAATTGGCTGTAATTATAGCCAATATGTATCAGACAATTCCACCAACAAACCTGTTTCATGACAATCATTAACCACTGTCAGTGGCACAGTTCTCAGTCTCTATCGCAGCCATGTGCATTATTTTTCCATTGTTGTCTTTCACAACAATTGCCTCGTGACTGACAGGCCCTGGCATATTGCTTATGTCAGAGTTATCTCCCTTCTCTGATGGAACTTTTCCAAAGGTACCACCTGTCAAATCAGATGTTGCACAAAATGTTTGGTTGATATTGTCACCAGTTTCTGTAATTTTGCCAAAGCACGGTTTGTCCGAGACTGTAACTTTGTTTGGATTTTGGTCGTTTGAATTTGATGCATTGCCAGAGAGATTACCTGAAACTTGGGACCAGTCATGGTCTGTAACCTTCCCAGTTAAAACAAATTTTGGCGATGTATCCACAGGTTTGACTAAAAGATCCCTATCTTCTACACCAGAATCAGATGCTTCAACAGCATCCAAATATTCTGATTCAATATTGTCATGTTTTGCTACAAGATCTGTATGTTCTGTTTCAATGTCCTTTTGCTCTGTTTCAAAATCATTATGTCCTTTTTCAAATTTTGTATGTTCAGTTTCCATGTCCCTTTGTCCTGTTTCAAGAATTGTTTGTTCTGATTCAAAGTTCCTTTTTTCTGCTTTTAAAACTGTATGTTCTGTTTTAAAATTTGTATTTTCCTTGGTTTGACTAGCACTACATTCCATTTTTTCACTCTCTTGATCTGTGTTAGTCATCTCTGAACCGTCAATGTGAAGGTCAACACATGCTGAAGCTTTGCTTACATCTGCTTCAATATTTGACCTTACTGCTTTGACCTCTGACTCAAGGACATTGTTGTTAAGCACTGTTTCATTATTGGCATTATCAGAATCTATAGGATTAGTCGTAACATCAGTTATAGCACTACAATCTGTTTCAGCACTTTCTTTTTCAAGTAGTTTATCTGCTTCAACTTTCTTATCCTCCCTGTGATTGGCTAGAAAATTTTGTCCAATCACAGCTTGTTTTACATCAGAGTTTGCTTCATCAGTGTAAATAACAAAACCATCCTCATGCCCATCAACATCTTCACTTATGATTAAAATGTTTTCCATATCAGAGGGATCCTGTAAAATCTTAATGTTATCAGCAATGTTTTTTGTAACCATGGTGACAGCTGTAGTGACTGTGCTTTTTTCAACATCACCAAAATTTTCTTCAGTATTACAATTATCAGTATCCTGTACCACAACAAAGTCTCCAGTCGTGTCAGAGCTCATGTTCACATAAACAATCTCAGCTACACCAGCATCTTCAACAACATCACCACTCACTTCACTATCACCTTTTTCAACTGTTAATGGAGGGACTGACTGTACCGATGTTTCATGCATTTCCTCATCTACAGACCCAGACTCCTCTTTCCCCGGTTGCTGTTCGGTAGTGACCTTCACCTCCCCTTGATAATTGGTTTCTATGGTAACAGAGCCCCATGATGACATCACTTTGTTGTGTTCCTCCACATGTATTTTGAGGTTCTCCGCCTTGGCGAACGTGTTTCCACAGATACCACAAACATATGGTCGCTCCTGAAACAGAAGTGAAATTCAGCCATTTCAAATGTTGTACCTACAGTCAAAATCTAGCCCCAGTTGTTTGAAGGCTGGTTAGAGATAACAGATGTATGTAAAAACTTTCAAACGTAAATAAAACAAAATTGTGGACATTCTTCATTATTCACAGTCGTAGCTTTTTTCAGACAGGACAGAGTGACATTTTTTAATGTCAGTTTTGTGTTTCAGTCCTCCTTTTTTCGCAGTAGCAACTGTTACAATTTTTTAATTAAGATTTATTTATTTTTTTGCTGTTTTGATCTTTTTGTCTGAATGAGTATCTGAACATGTAGAAATGTACATGCAATATTTCTATACATGAGCATGTGTATGTTGACATGTTTTCAGTTACTGAGATATATATCTGGGGTTTTCCTTTACCTGAGCATGTGTATGTTGACATGTTTTGCATTACTGAGATATATATCTGGGGTTTTCCTTTACCTGGGCATGTGTCTGTTGACATGTTTTTAGTTACTGAGATATATATCTGGGGTTTTCCTTTACCTGGGCATGTGTATGTTGACATGTTTTCAGTTACTGAGATATATATATGGGAGTTTCCTGAACCCCATTACCTGAGCATATGTCTGAACATGTATCTGACTATTTGTCCTTACCTTAACATGTGTCTTAAGATGCATCTGTTTACCTTAACATGTGTCTTAAGATGCATCTGTTTACCTTAACATATGTCTTAAGATGCATCTGTTTACCTTAACATGTGTCTTAAGACGCATCTGTTTACCTTAACATGTGTCTTAAGATGCATCTGTTTACCTTAACATATGTCTTAAGATGCATCTGTTTACCTTAATATGTGTCTTAAGATACATCTAGGTTTTTTTCTTACCAAACTTTAAGTTTAAAATGTATGTGGATTTTTCCTTACCTGAACAGTGTCTACAGATATATTTGTCCTTACCTGAGCATGAGTTTGAAGGTGAATCTTCAGAGATTGAGCATTGGTGAACCCTGCATCGCAGTACTCACAAACATAAGGTCGCAGTTCTGCATGTGTGATCAAGTGACTCTGTTGAAATAAAGAGTGCTAGATTTAACTCTTGTTTTATACAAAGAATTTATAGATATACACTGTTAATTCTACAGGTGAGTTTTTCTCACAATTCACAGATTTCTCTAACATGTTACCTGTATTCCTATACATTAAACATATTGCTTGCTCTTACAAAAACCACTTGACTCAAAGGAACGAAAAATATATAATGTGACTACGTCAATTAAAATTCATCAATTCAACATTTCTAAGACAATTTTATGGTAAAATTAGCAAAAGTAAGACACAGACAAAAAATTAAAAGAAGGAAATATTGACATAAAATATTCTATCAAAGATCAATATCATAATTATGGGTTTAAGTTTTATGAGGTTGGTTATTTATATAAAAGATATTGGTATATTTGTTGTAAATGATCTGACTAACCTTGAGATGTTCCAAGTTTCGGAAGCCCTTCCGACAGATCCCACACATATGAGGACCCTCTACCAATCCTTTTTCCTCCCCTGTACGACATCCTCGTGCTGTTTCCTTCTCCTCCTCATCTTCGTCTTTTCCGATGTTCCCAATGTCGATTGGTTCCTGTTTTATCAGTTCCACTGTCACACGTTCATTGGAAGCATGTTCGTGTCGTTCATAGGCTGCTTTCCGATGAGATTGGAATGAATCAATGACTTTTCCCGACGATTCACTAGGTTCTGGGGTAGAACTATGTTCTACTGACCCTGAAGTAACTAAGACTGTTCCCTCAGTTCTTGTAAACTGTAGTAATGTTTGTAGAAATACAGAAATATCAGATGCTTCTAACCCCGCAATTGCTGTCTCATACTTGTTGTACGTACCAACTGGAAGTCTTCCTAATTGCTCCCATTTTTGTACATGGTTTTTAGACCTCAGATGTTTTGCAAGATGTCCTTTCATGCGGAATGCAATGTTGCAGTCATCACAACGGAATGGACGTGGATTATCAGAGGATGACAAATCGCCACGGATTAGAGTCTGATGCGATTCAGACTGTTGATGCTTCATGAAGACGCTATGTGTTTTAAATGCCTGATGACAGGTGTCACATTTGAAAGGTTTCTCAATAAAATGAATATTTCTATGGAGTACCAACTGTTGGTTTTCCTGGAATGTTTTTGAACATATATCACAGACAAATTTTCCTCCTCTGCCAAAAGAATTCTCACCTAGAATGACATAATTACAAGCTCCAGAGTTTTCTTCTTTCTTTGGTGATGTAACTTCAGAACGAATGAAAACACAGTCCTGATCTCCTGCATCTACAGACACAGAAGTCAAGTTTTCAGTATCTGTGACTTTGATGGATTCCACTGACCCAGAGCTGAGCTTTCTAGCTTGATCATTCAAATGAGTAATCAGCTTCTCAAAACCTTCAGAGCCCGAGGCTTGAGTTAAGTAACTATGGAACGGATGACTAAACTGAAATGGCAAGTACGAGGTTGATGATTGGCTTATTTCTGATGAAGGTTGATCGGGACTTGTAACATGCAATCTGATTGGTTCTTTGAAACCAATATTGAAAAGTTTTGCAAGTTCAACAGATATCTCGCTGCTGGTGGTAGGTGTGGATGAGGATAACATTGGAGGCATGAAGCCTCCCAATGGCACTGTAACTAGGAACCCTTTCTGGGATTCTGACGTTTTAGGGTTAAAGTCTGACTGATCATGACTAGATGAATCTGGTTGAGTGTTTTCATCCTTTGAAGGTTCACTGCTACATAATTTCTCATCTGTATTCTGAAATTTCACAATAATCTTAATTTTATTTACAAAAGAGAAAGGCAAACACAGAATCGTAAGTAATTCAAATTTCCAAGTTAAAATTGAAAAAAAATCATCATGAATAAAGCGATGGAGAAAAAGATTTCTTGGAACAGGAGACTGAAGACAAGCTGTTAAGAATACTGTTAATATAAGAAAAGGAAAAACAGCTTTTCAAAGAAATGGATACTATTGACGGATTGACAGTAGAAAATTTTTCTATTTCATATTTTTTTTTTCTTTTACAAGATTTTTATGTGCCAATATATTATATATTTCAATCCTGATTTATTATTTTTCTTCTTTGTTATTTTATTCAATGCAGAAAGCTACTTCGGTTTCAGAACTGTTATTGAAAATATTTCATAAATACACAAATATTTGAAATCAAATACATGTATTTCATTTATCAAAGTACATGTTAATAATAAGGCGCATGAACAAACCATTTTCGAAGTCCAAGAGTTTAAAAAAAAAGAATTAATTTTTGCTCTCAACATACCTTGGTATATAGGATCTTAATTAAGTTTTCATTTGATATGTAAATTTCTGAAATGGACATCTCATCATCAAACTTGAAGTTAGGTCTATTTATATCTATGATCTAAATTGTTAGGTCGCACTGCTATCTGTGAATGTGAGATGCTATTTCATTACCTTAAGTTACATCACAATATGTTTTACATGATACATGAAATACCAAGAGCATGACATGGGTACATTCACTGAATAACAGATTTTGAGATACAAAATCCAGTGCACTATGATCATTGAAGACAAAGGTCAAACACAGAGCAGAGGCTTGGTTTGGGTGTATCACCTCTCCAATCTTTCAAGCTTGATTTGGGTGTAACACCTCCCCAATCTTTCAAGCTTGGTTTGGGTGTATCACCTCTCCTATCTTTAAAGCTTGGTTTGGGTATATCACCTCTCCTATCTTTAAAGCTTGATTTGGGTGTAACACCTCCCCAATCTTTAAAGCTTGGTTTTGGTGTATCACCTCCCCAATCTTTCAAGCTTGGTTTGGGTGTATCACCTCCCCAATCTTTCAAGCTTGGTTTGGGTGTATCACCTCCCCAATCTTTCAAGCTTGGTTTGGGTGTATCACCTCCCCAATCTTTCAAGCTTGGTTTAGGTGTAACACCTCTCTGATCTTTCAAGCTTGGTTTGGGTGTAACATCTCCTCAATCTGAACACCTCCTCGCTCTTAAAAGGACATTATCATACACCAACCTAATTTTTTTATGGTATTTAGTGAATGGCACCAAAATCTGGTTTTGCTGTGACCTCAAGTTTTAAAGCTCCAGTCCTAGCACTGCCATATGTAGCTTATATATACAGCGCATAATTACCTTACGAAACAGAACATGTACAACAAGATTCAGCATTTATATCAAATATACGGACACTGGCATTCAAAGTGGGCTTATCCAATCAATCTCAATCAATGTCCATAACAAAGAGCTTCTAATATTCACCTCTAAACAGTGACTTGGATTATAGGTAAATGTCTTTTTCTTGAAATTTGTTAGGCTTTGACCTAGAAATACCTTCCAACCAAATATTCTGCATCTTGGACTTTTGGTTAACCAGAAGAAGTTTTTTACAGGTTTCAACAAATTTGTCCCAGTGACCTTCAATGGGGAATCAAGGTCTCATTTTTTGGCACACTTTGTGAAGTTTCATCCTAGGAACCTATCAGCCAAATACTAACGCTTTTCATTAGTCAGAAGAAGTTGTTTTTAAGGTTTAATCAATTTGATTAAGGGTCAAGGCAAATTTCACTGGGCTTTAACTTAGGAACCAGTCAGTCAAATATCATGCTTCTGTACCTCTTGTTTGGTCAGAAGATGTTGTTTAAAGGTTTTAACAAAAACAAAAAAATAAACAAAACAAAAATTCTGTGACTTTGAATAAAGGTCAAGGTCATTTTTTTTTGCATTTCATCGGGCTTAACACTTCTGTGCCTCTGGTTAGTCAGAAGGTGTTGTTTAAAAGGTTTTAACAAAAAAGACCCCTGTGACCTTGAACATAGGTCAAGGTAATTTCTTTTCACAATAATTGTCAGGCTTCTTCCAAGCAATCCCAGTAACCTATCAGCCAAATGTGATGGTATTTGGTCTGTTGGTTATTGAGAAGCAGTCATTTCAATGAAAAAGTTGATGCGGAAAGACGATGAATGCTGTTTCACAGTATCAGATCACATGACCCTTCAGGTCAGGAGAACAAAAAATTATTTTTTAAAGTCAACAATTTACCAATGATAGTGATATGGTTGTTCATTGTTCATTAAGATCATTTCTGTAGCTATTTAAGTAAATTATATTCATAAAATTACTTTTACTATAGAGCAATTACAGGTAACTTACCTTGTCACTTTGATTCGAGCCCAAGGGAAGGAGAATCCGTTTACCCTCATCAGTCATAGTTCTCATAATCAGTTCACTGATCAGATTTCCCAAACGAGTCTCTGTAATCAACACAAGTTTAATGAAGGTGTGAATAGAATGTAACCTAGCTGTCAATCGAATCCCTATATAATATTTTTTTCAGTCTTATATCTGTTGTCTACTGTTACCCCTTAGTGCTCTGACCTCCTATCTAGTATTACCTGGAGTGTCCACACTTCCTACCATGTTTTAACCCTGAGTGTCCCGATTTCCTGTCTAATCTTATCCCTGAGTGTCCAGACTTCCTACCATGTTTTAACCCTGAGTGTCCCGATTTCCTGTCTAATCTTATCCCTGAGTGTCCTGATTTCCAGTCTACAATCTGACCCTCATGTGTACTGATTTACCCCTGACTTCCTGTCTATACCCTTATCCCTGAGTTTCCTGATATCTAGTTAAATCTTTTTCCTTTCATTCTACTATCTTGTTGAAGCTTAGAATATAAAATCTGAAATATTTTAAAAAGATACTGATGTACATGGTTGTCATATCCTAATAGGCTAACAAGGACTGCTTTGTAATTATACCTATATTTTTAGCAGTGCCACTACTGGTATCAGTTGTCGGTGTTTCAGTGAGAGAGGTGGCACTTGGCTGACTCTGTTTAGACAATGCAAGCAGACTGCAGGCAATTTCTGAATCCACACCATCTCCTAATGTCACTCCTTACAAGACAGACAAAAAAAGATTAATGAAAATTTTCATCTCATTTCAAAAAGAATATTTTACAACATTTTCATATCCTTTTCAACAGATTTTATCATAAAGTTTCCTGTCTCAGAAACAAATGTGAGCCACAAAGTAACTTATTTTTCATACCTTGACTAGTACTTGAAACTTTCTGCTCAAATCCATACACAGTTCCTAATCTGAAAACACAAAAATCATGTTTCAACAATTTCCTGGCCTTTTTCAAGAAAATTTCTTTTAATGTTGAATGAAGATAAGCCTGCGACAAACCTACTTCAGTATTACTTTATATTAACAGGGCACTTTGGCTCATTAAGCTTTTTGCTATTTCTGTATGCATTTCAAGACTATGGATTAATTAATCTAAAGTATAAAATTGTTATATACCATTAAGTATTTATCAGGCACTTAATTCATCAAATGGATGGAACACTTAAAATCATGCAAGTATCTCTTTAGTCAAAATTCATGCCCAAATGAATGGAAAATATGTAGAATCAACTAAATATGCAAATAAAAATCAGAAAGTCAATCTTTTATCAATACTGAATTCTTACAGACAACAATGGTTGTAAATAAATTGTATAAAGGAGATGTTCCCAGGCAACCCCTATGCAACACCTCCATTGTTTATCTGCTAACAAAATATCTACACACCTCGTGGTTCCACTCTGGTTGCTAGTAGTAACAGTTTCCCTGCCTACCATCGACTCGTCACCTTTATCCGTAGCTTTGGAGACAACTGTCTTTTCAGATGTTTGCAGGATGGGCTGTATTGTTGAGCAAATGACTGGCACCAAGCCAAGCAGACCTTGTTCCACTGAAGGAAGGGGCGGTGCTGAACTGCTGTCATGGATCAGAGAAACATTGTCAAAATTTTACAAATGAACTTAATAGATTACCCCTCAAGACATATGCTGGAACATAAATATAATTCATAGGTAAAACAGCAAACAAAATACAAATTGACAAATTATATTTGATTGAACTATCGTGGCTCCCAACTAAAATTATGATGGGTTGGCTGCAGTAAACACCACAAATATAAAGGATCAATATTAGGAATAATTCATCAGTAGCTGTGATTGTAGGATTATCTTATCTTATATTATATTCAAACATACCTATCTGTAGTATCATCGATGATTTCTTCAGCCCCAACGCTGCCAGGTCTTGCATCCTCTTCTACCTCAATCAGAGTAACCTCCCCTGAATCATCACCTTCCTCCACATCCTCATCGTCTTCAGACATATCCATGTTGTCCTCCTCATCATCAGAATCATCAATGCCTAGATTGACCTTACCCTCACGGTCATTGACGATACGTGCGACCTGTGAGAGAGCACACTGTGCTGCCAATGCATTGCTATCTATCTGTGAGTCATCCACTTGAGTAGGTATGGGGATTATGCCCAGCTCCACACACTTTTTATGGTGGGCCTTTGACTTCATGTGTTTGGTCAAATTTCCTTTGGTTTTAAATGAGAATCGGCAATGTTTACAATGGTATGGCCGAAGGTCAGTGTGACTACGAATGTGTTTTTTCAACATACTTGGTTTCTTGCACCGAATTCCACATTTTTCACACACATACTTGCCGCGTCCTCTCCCTCTAATGTAGGTGTAATCGTCCATACTTTTATATCCACCTTTGAATGCAGATATCTTACACACATTCTGGTCAGATTTTTCAGTTTTTTCAGCTGTAGTGGACTCTGGAGTCTGTGTGACTGTCGCCTTGGTAACCATCGTATCATTATGGCGTTGGTTTTGTTTGTATGACCAATAACTGCTGTGAGTGAGTACACCTCCCTTTGATATACCTGAGTTAGGAACAGCACACACAGGATTACTGGTGTAGCGGGAATCGTACAGCTCAAGCAGCATTTTACAGCTGAGGCCAGCAGGGTTGGGATCGTGTTGTGACAGCTTCCAGTTTGAGTACATGGATGTTTTCTTGTTGATGCCCTGTAACACGTACATAGGCTGTGGCCGTTGTACACAGCAAAACGTTGTATGAGTATTGACTTTGAGGGAGGGGAAGGAATGACCAAGTAACGTCAGAGATGCCAAGTTCTTGTCACTTTGTGATGGTGAGGTAAGTTCAGTTTTGCTGTTTACTGCTGCTATGCAAGATTTTGAGGACAAATCTCCAGCCATTTCTCCAAGAAGAGCTGCCTTGAGTTTTGATTTGGATGGACTGCGAAGGATTTTTGAATTTTGATCATTAATACTTGCTGCTAATTTTGGACTGCTTTGTTTGGAGTTACAAATATTTGAAGAAAACATAAGATGGCTGAATATCTGAGAGGGGTGGAAAATGTACTGCTCTCTTGCTGTTGGTACAACTAACATATCAGTTTTTTCTGCCAGTATTTGCTCCACACTGACACAGGAAACCTGGGCTGGATCATACACAGACAGACTTGTAAACCTTTTAATCTTTGCTACCGGCTCCGAGTAGGACCTTAGTAATGTGGATCCTGCTATTAATTGAGATTCTGATAATTTCCTCTTTCTATTTAGCATTTCTTCTGAGTCTGTTGCCATGGAGAGAGGAATATCCGGACTAGAAACTAGCTCAATTAAAGGTGAGGCATCAGCTTTGGTGCCATCTGGTGAAAATCCTTTATCGATACTTAATGATCTCTTCATCAAAAGTTTACCTTTGAGCCTCTGTTTGAGATGAGACTGTGAATCCCCTTGGTCAAACCCTGAGGGGATTCCTGGTGTCACTGGGGTAATAGGAGTTACAGAAGTCAGTGGACTTCCCGTCTGTACCATTGTACCAGTCACAAGCTCCTTTGGCAGAGACGAGGCAATTGTTACAGATGGCGTTTGAGGAAAGTGGACATCTGACAATTTTAAACCTGATTCTGACAGAATGACGGGAGAAGCGGGCACCAACATGCGGGCGACACTGCTTTGTGTTCCTAAATTGATAAGAATTGGGACAGAGCCTTGCGTAGATGTAGTTCCAGCAGTACTGGGTGCTGCCACAGGGCCAATAATCTGAACAGGGACATACCCCTGAAGATCAAAATCTGTCATGTCTTTTGGACGGTTTTTAGAACCTTTTGGCCTACCTTTCTTACGTGGAAATATACTAAGTTCCTGATTATCTGCAGTCTGTGGGGTCGTTGGGGTCATTGGCATGGTGATTGCAAATGCAGAAGGTGATGAAGATGGCATCATGACTTGTATTGGTGTAGTTGGTGTTGCCATAGGTGTTGCCATGGTAACTTGACCTTGATCACTTGGTTTGGGTTGAGAAGTGCTGACCTCTGGCCTAACACCTGCCTGTATTCCAGCTATAGTACTTGCTAAGCTTACAGTGCCCTGAGGAATCACTTTTCTGATGACATTCTCTCCATGAGTGAAAAGACGTACAACCTTTTCCTGATCAATCATCTCCAAACTACGAGCTGATGTAAGGGACTGAACAGGTTTGGTCACAGAGGCTGTTCCTGACGGCTTACAGTAATACAACTTATGTAACTCCAGTGTCTGTTCTTTCTTGAAAGAAACATAGCATTTAGGGCAACAATGAGGACCGTAACTATCTCCTTCTTTGGTTTCCTTCACAATGTTATCAACTTTCTTGTTGTCATTACCTTCTGTTGGTTTTGACAGCTGTATTTTTATTGTAATTTCCTGGCCTTGCTGGTTCTTGCCTACCATTGTCTTGGTATGATGATCAGGAGAGCTGTTAGCTACAGACACATTTTGAGTTTGCTGCAGATTTCCACCATTATCCGACAGTACGGAAGACTGTGTAGAGAGTGGACAACTGGACACAGAGTTCTGTCTGACTAAAGGTGGTCGAGACTTTAATTCCATTTTCCTAGTTTGTCCATCAGAGCTAACAACATGTATTTCATGAGTTGCAATATCAGAATCTTTGAAATCTTGTACAACTGCCTGTGGGATATCTTTCTGATATTCTGATCCATCATTTTTCATCACTTCCTCAGTTTCCTGAATTTCCCTCAATGTATTTTTTTCCTGTGATTTATTTCTATGACCTAGCGCCCCAAAGTCTGGTAAAACTTGTCCTTCATTACTTAGGGTTTTACTCAGTGTGGGTTCAGAAGAAGGACTAGCAGTAACTTGATCTTGTGTTATTTGTATAGAGTTGGCCTCTGTGTCTAAACTCTGTGACCGCAGTGGTGTGTTTGCTGTAACAGGGGCAAAAACTCGAGGGGATGAAGGGGTACCGAGTTGACCGAATTCTACTTTAATTCCTGGTGTGGAAACCTCACTGTTTTGACGCGAGATCCTTTTGTGGCGAGGAGGGTCCGCCATTGGAGTACTTACAATAGCGGCATTCGCTGAAATCAATTTCTGTATTCTTTCACTAAGCATCTCAGATGTGAATCCTTTGGACTCAACACCAGCACTCCGTGGCTCCAGATCCCCTGTGACTGGTGTCATTGGCTTTACTGCACTAATGGAAGTCTGTGATGGTACACTGGAGGCCATTACCTGGCTGCCTGTTGAATTTGATGGTAGGACCTCAATGGTGATTTGACAAGAGCGATCAGGGAGGTTATTAACAGAAGTGTAAAGTTTCAATCCTGCACGTGATGCATTCTTAAAGCTTTCACTTAATGCTTCAAGATCTCGCAAAGCTTTTGTCGCGACAGCAGGGTTAGCATTAGGTTGTGGTAGTTTTACTGTCTCTAAAGGTCCGGAGTAGTCTTTTACTGGTACCTGACATGTGGGAGTTCCTGTAAGGTGTGGAAGTCCCAAAGACAGAGCATGGAGGCGAGAATTCTTATGTTCACCAACACCGCTGCTTGGTCCTGTAACACCCGATATGTCTTCTTTCTTGCCAGAAAATTGGGTTATGGATTGTGGTATCACTGTTCTTTTCATTGAAACACTGGTGGGGGCCGTCACAGGACTTGGAGTCTGAATTATAATAGGAGAAACTAGTCCTTGTTTTGCTTTCTCTGTCGGAATCTTCACAGTAGCTCCAGAAGTACCTTGTTTGGGAGCAATCTTTAAATATTGACTCTGTACTTTATGGAACTTTTGTTCATCTTGTTGGCTGAATTTTCTCTCCAGTTGTGGCACTGTGACATGTTTTAAAGGCTCTGTCAGTGAAAATGACCGTTTCAGTTTAGCTTTGAGTTTGTCATGAACAGTTTTAAATTTATCTTGTTTTCCATCAAATTTGGACTGGGGAACTTCTACTTTGGGGCGTTCCTCTTTAGGTTTTTCAAGATATTTGGCAACTTCCTGCAGAACATGTATTTGAGCGTGCTCACGTTTTTCAGATGATTCTTCCATTTCCCGACCAGCCTCAGCCTCTTTCTGGCATTCACTTCCTGATTCAGTGCCACTGCTATTGTCCTCAGAATCATCTATGTCCTCCATGTTGGTAGCTTCCTCCTCACTTATATCCATACTGCTGCTAGACTGACCAACAATGAGGCCTGACTTCAGAGCATGTGCTCGGGACTTACAGTGTTTATAAAGATTACTTTTTGTCTTAAAGGAAAATCCACATGATACACATGGATATGGCCGTTCCCCAGTGTGTGCTCGCAAGTGTTTCAGGAGAACACTCGGCTTAGCACAACCTCTGCCACAAAATGGACATATGTGTCTCCCAGGTTTCTGTGGGTGTTTTCTTCTTCGTCCCGATGTTTCAGTCTGAACTGCTGACAGGAGAGTTGTTCCCCCTGTCTGAATCACAGTCTCAGCTGGTTGGGTTTCAATAGTGTTGATTTGTATACTTTGATATGTGACAGATTCGGTGTTGGACTCACCTGCAGGTACACTGATCTGTTTACTATACTTAATTCCATTCACAATTTCATCCAAGGTCAAATCGCTGGGCAAAATTGTCACAATATTTCCTTCTACTTCCTGAACTGTTGCCTTCTGGGTCTCGTCAATAATAAGCTGCTGAGGTGACTTGAGGCGTTGTCGAGAAATATTTTGCAGTTCATTGTCTGTCACTTGGAACAGCGCCTCCAAAGATAAGTTCCTTTTCTCTGAGGACCCTGAATGTCCTCCAATGCATCCCTGAGTCGAGTCCTCCTCCATGGTACCAGAGTTATCCCCCTTTATGTCACATGGCTGTTCTTGGGATGAACCTTTCATGTCAACAGAACAATGGTTTCTGATTGAAGGAAGGAATGAATTCACAACTGTACATCAATTGAGGTAGCCATTGCTGTATTTATACCAGTGTGTGTATGATGTACTATGTCTAGGTATGAGAAGTTTAATCTATTTATGGTTCAGGTAAACATAATCAGTTGCTATTGTGTATTATAGCCTAACAGAAAAAAAAAAAATCATGAAAAAAAAATGGATATGGTTAAGTTTATTTATTTGAAAAAAAGGGGATGTATCGTTCCCTGGCCTAATTTGCTTACATAGACAACTCTGACACACAGCTCAGGAGCAGCCATCACTGTATTCCATAACACGAGCATACAACTGAGATTGATGATGTCACAACTATCCATGCACAAACTTTTACTATTAAGGATAACTGTGTCATAATTTACGGATAACGTTACAATATCTACTAGAAATAAATGCCATTATTTTTTTTTTTTTTTTGTATTGATAATGACTTATAAACAGATTTAGTTACTGTGTACCATACCTGTCAAGGTGGGTTCTTCCTCAATGACCAGTGAGTGTGTGCCCATAATCTGCAGGTCACTGTTCTGTGTGGTCGGTACTGGAGTTTTATGTCCTTCTGAATCAGCAGTTTGTAAAGAACACACTGCCTCATTTTCCTCACCTGTAGAAGGCACTGGTGAAACATCATCTGTTATATTGAAATCAAAATGTTTTTTTTCAAAGTTCATTGAATAAGTAATTTCAGTTTTTGCCCTGGCATTTTTCAGTATTTTTTTCAATTTGTCACACATTTTTAAAAAAAAAGATCTTTGCTTTCATAAAATTGCTCAACTTTTTTTATTCGTCCAACTGGAACTTGTGTCCCTAAAGAATATTTCGACAAATATAAAAGACTACAGATTTGCTTTCCAATGATAAGATAGTATTACATTGTTTCTATATATAAAAATGAGGCAATACTGGATAAGCCTGTAGATTAAGTGATGGGGTACCTGAGGGTTTTGCCTTCTTACTCAAATATTTATCACCATTTTCCTCTTCTATTGTGCCTGAAAAAACAATACAGCAATTAATTATATCATTACAGACCAATATAAATAATTTGTGATTGTTTGTAGTAATGTTGATCTTCATTAAACGATGATGTACAATTACCTGGTATAACAATGTAATGTTGGGAAGGGGAGGTAATCCTGTCAGTTTAAACTTCTAAAGGTGTGCAATCAATTATTACGTTGATCTGATTTCTGTGTAATGACATTCCTTGCAAAATACTTTTCAAAAAAGGCATCATGACAGCTTAATGTCAATATACATTGACAAATACATTATTTTAATCTCTTACATATCTTTTTAACATTAGGGTTTTAAGTGGATTTTTATTAATTGGATTTTTTTTCTTCTTTTTTTAATGTATGCTTTTATCTCATTTCTTGTTCACTATATCGATGATCTTGCGATTACAAGAAAAACAATGAAATGATCTTTAATCTTTTTCATATAAATTATCATTTTCACATTTAAATATCCAGAAAATATAATACACCAGAAAAAAAAAAAAAAAAAAACAGAAATAAATAAGCTCAAAATAAAAACTTCCAACATGTCAAAAACGAACTGATTAAATGGTCATAAAGGAAAGGAAATTACAACACTTGATGTGAGAAAAGTTGCACCATAATTTCTATTCATGAGAGTTTAAAATAATCACTTGATGTCAAAGATAACTGTGTTACAGAAAACATGTGTTTTTTTAAATCAAATTTTGCAAAATTGGTACAGAATGCACAAGCTTAAGAAATGATGACAGGAATTTTTCTCAAAAAAAGTATTTCAATGAAAGGGTAGTATCCCTCTAGAGCCTCTCAAAAGAATGACGTCATAAGTATTTTTGAAATAACATATTCATAAACATATACATGATTTTATTTGAATGCATTATTAAACAATAGTAATATGTTCAGAAATATGACATCCCTACGAAGTGACACTGAAAAAGAACTCAAAATAAATAAAGAATAATTATATATTTCGATTTCTGTGGGTTGTTCCGCGAATGTCTCATACGTCATTAGATTGGTCCATATTTCGACCGTGGGTAATGGTTAAATTAAATTTTTTACGCAAATTCCCCAACTCACGTTAACTGTCGCCAGTATTTCTTTGTGAACTCAATATATTTTCATTTGTAAAACGTTATATCTCAAATGAACACAAAAGTTTCAGGTAGTTGCATTTTAAATACTAATCTTTGATTTGAACAACCTACTCTCCCTATCATGTCTTGATAGTGTGATAGCCCTTGTCGGACTGAAATTCCCCTCGATATTTCACGATAAAATGGCCGTTTAATGACATAAATTTACAAAGAATTACTCCGTCGGTCAACTTATTCTTAACTATGCATGCATGCACATATAAATGGTTCCCCAACTGATCACCATTGGGTCCGAACACGCAAATATGGTTTGCCGTGTTGCATATTTTAGACGAGCGGGGACGCGGGGTAACCCCTCGAGAAAGGTGTTTCCCCAACAAACAATCAACAAAACATATTCTGTGCGTAGTACCATTATCCATAAATCAAATAGGATGTCAGCGGTCTAACAGTAAATTTCACATTCTAAATATTAAAATGTCATGCAAAATGGCAGATTTGCATTGATTTAACTCACGTTTCATCGGTAGAGAAATAGTAGGTTTCCGACGTGGCATTTCCCAATGTGTCGCGGCATGGATGTCCCTGTGGTTAACAGTTCGGGATTTTCGGGATTTACCTCCCGTAAATATCTATCTCCTGTCGTCTAATCAATGTTGGCCAATCTGTAGATAGTCATGTTATACGATTCTTATCCAAATACAACGAGCTTGTACAACTAAACTGTAGGAATCCTCTTCTATATCACGGGAAATCTCAATAACACAGACATTCATGACGTCATATCACCAGTGGTTTATAATTCAGAACGAGGCTTCGGGTAAACCCGACAATCCCGAAGATACATAAAGTAATATATATGATCGCAGATCTTATCATTAACGTAACTTGTTTTTCATGGTTTTTTATCATGTTTTATTTAGAGTCATACTGACTCAATTTATGGAAGCTGCGGAACCTGTGGACCGGGAACGTTTACCAACCTCATCGGAAAAGCGGTCGCGATATCATGGCGAAACACAGGTTAGAGCATTTGATGTGTGATGCATCGACATCTTTTCCCTACTTTTCCATTTAGTTACAGCACGCTGTGTTGACAATTTTTTCAATCATTTGAACTTATCAAGATTGAACCCATATTGTCTAGGTATAGTAGAGCTAGGTCACAAGGTTGTGTACGTTTTATCGCTGACTTGAATAAATCTATATTTTAGACTGTCGTGCTCTAATAATGTCCAATTGCTTGAAGATGGGTGCAAATAATTGATTATATGATAAAACGTTACTGTGGGAGCCGAAACCGGAGTATCCGGGGGAAAACCCACGTGGTCGGGCAGGTGACCCCACACCTTTTCACATCTTGTCCGGCAATCGAACCCCGGACGGCTAGGTGAAAGGGGATGCGTTACCACTGCGCCACCCGACCACCCATCATTCTGTTTGATCGCTGATAATCTGCGTTGCATTGCTTGCTGGCTTTTATGGAAACGAAAGTTAATCATGGAATTGAAGGTCAAAGGTCATGTAACTAGCAAACATTCCACCCAGGTTTTTGGTTTTGTGGTGTTTTTTTTCCTTTCTTTTTTTGGTACTTTTTTTATTTTATCAATTTTATGAGGTGACTTGTATTCACTCTTTTCATTGATATTAGTCTGTAAAAGTGTCATTGTTTTCGCTTGTGAACAATAAAAAAAAAGAAAAAAAAAAGTTGTTTTTTTCACTACACTGAAAAATAACACTTTTATCAATGGTATATTTCTCTATATTTCATTGGCAAAAATGTATTAAGTATCATACTTTTGTGTTTGTCAGTAATACATAGTGTATTGCTGTTTTGATTTGCTTCTGTAATTTTACCAACGCTTGGATATTTCGTTTGAGTTTTGTTGAAACTTGTCTGCTCTTAAATTAGCTCAACAGAACTTATTTTTTTTATATGTACATAAATGATCGTCAAAAAATCAATCTTATATCTTATACTCACCAACCCTATCACTCTCTTCCGTACAGGAAATACAGAACGAAAGTCATCGTAAACAAAAAAACAAACAAACAAACAAAACACTCAGAGGAAGATTTGATCTTTAAGGACGTGTACAAAATTCACAGTCATGCACACATGCTCTACAACATTATCATCAACTTCTACACGTGCAAGTATATACGTATCATATATTTAATATTCTATGTTTGTTAATTGTTATCTTAGAGCAATGATACTGAAGTCAATAGCTAGAGTGTACATAGTCCAGTATGTTATGTCAGAAAGATAGCTTTAGGTACTTCAGAAATGTAACCAGTGAGCAGAGATCGATCGACCTATACGTATTATCCATCACTGCAATATAAATAAACTTTTTCTAATATAGTATAATAATGAAATACATGTTACGGTTAATTCGAAGAATATATATCAATCCTGACAGAATTTTGAGATGAAATAATCGATGTTATCTCGTTATAGTCTGATATGCATAATTAACTTTATGGTTTATACTAGTACAATATACACTCTTATCGTCTCTTTAGTCTAAGTACATTGCACCAATTTTTACATTACGTACAAATAGAATATTGTTGACTTGAGGTATTTTATCAGCCCGCCTCTTGTTCAGGTTGTTTGTTTTTTTATGGTTACGTCATAATGTTATGACGTATTATTCATGAATTTTGTATATGTATATATATATATATGGTGGCAAATGTTCTCCGCCATCGTGTTCGAAATTTCGTTATAATATGTATGTATTTAATATATAATCCTGTATGCTATTTGCATATGGAATAAAGTTAATTGAATTGAAAAATAAAAATATACAGGTAAATAACACGTCTTGAGACTAGGTGGTGACCATGGAGACACACCTGTGTACAGGTGTATCAAGGTGTTAACACAGGTATATTTCTGACATTAAAGGGTTGTGAGCACCAGCTGAAATTGATATGTGTCTTCTCATTAACATGTTGGCCAGATATTGAAGAGTTCATCCGACTGATCTGTTACATGTTGTTCGTCTCCGCTATTTTTAGTTTTCGCATTTTTCCATATAATTTTGTATTAAAAAGTTTACGTTTATGATTCGTCACCAGTTTTCTAAAACCTCTATACAACACAGTGTGTCTGCACTTCTGAAATAAGACCGACAATAAAACTACCATATTATATGAGACTCCTATCCCACTGTCACTATCGTCTGGCGGAATTGACGTCGCAGATTTTGGGTGCCCGAAGACTTCCAATAGCTACCGGAGAACGCCGAACCGCGGACAGGTAATTAAACCCAAAGAGGTATTCGGCTACAACCGTATCAATAGGTATAAATCGGTCCAGGGTACTACTTAGGTGATATCTATGTCAAAATATAGATCTCTACAAAATATTGTTGTCGGTGACCTTTAAGGATTGTGTAGTACCTGTTTTGGATTTTGTTTGCAGTGCGAGACTGATGCTGTTTTCATTAATTGAACGGTTACCAAACACACAATTCCATGTACAAGCTACGAGTTGCTATCTGCCTACACCAGAACCTCAGTTCAAGTAGGCTATAGACAAATGATCGATACGTCCTCGACTACCAGGGGCTGCGATCACATTTTACGATCTCTTGAACACTAAGCTAGCACTCTTGGCGCGTGAAGATGGTAGAGTAAGGTCTACACGGATATTGTAAGTTTTTTTTTTGTATCTTTCAGGTTGATATAGTTACTTTTTTATTTGATTATTTTTTAATTTACAGGCATTGTATCATTGATATTTTAAAACCCTACTATTTACCATTTTGCCGAGTTATAAAGATTGCTAGCAAATAAAAATGATGTTTTCATTTTTTTCCGTACAAGAACAGTAATACTATATTTGTATCTAAATGTAAATAAACATTTTTCTTAGTTTATGTACATGCTCTGCTATTCTTTAATATGTGTACTTACACCAGATAAATATGTCAATAAATAGCCCTTTGTTTCGTTGTTTTGTGTTCATATTCCTAGGTATTGACCTCAATGTCTGTGACTATATAACTTAACATGGTTCCGGCTCATGTCAATGCCATTTGACCGCGTCATATCGCTCTACGACCATATTTCAAATCGAAGTAGATTTTTTAAAGTTTTACCATCAAAATTTTCGTGGCCATTTCCAATGACCCGTATACAATCAGGAGAGCAGAATTCTACTCTAGAACTCTAGCTGACCTTTACCTTTGACCTTCGATCGTGTCCAAAGGCATCTTCCGATGTAGGATTAATTCTGTAGTTACACTATAGGTTAAATTATGTCCGGTGTTCCTGTATTTTACAAAAGAGTATATATTACTAAATGGACTGAATTCATTTTTTCCTCTTTTTAGACAAAAAGAAAATTAATGAAATAATGATAGGTTTTAAAAATACCAGTATTTCCATAGATAATGAAATGTCTCCTCCAAAGTAAATTGTCAGATTTAGTCAAATTGTAAAATATTCCATTCGTTCTTCGTCCGTGGTCCAATGTATTGTGATGATTTGCACTGTCCAAATGGTCAGTTCCCTTCTATCAAAACCATCTATTATCTCCAGTGTAATGAATCGCAGCTGTAATAAGAAATATTTCAAACTTGTGGTAGGGTGAGGAGAAATCAACGCGGTGTTTGATAAATCAGGCCCCACTTGTATACAACATCTCAACTTGAGATTTCCTCAAGTCGAGATTTTCCTCTGCTGATATCTCCTCAAAAACGGCTTGTATAAAATTTTCTCAAGGAACAGGAGGAAGTCCTCGGCTAGGATGTCCTGAAATTCCTTGAGGAATTTTCATATAAGACGTTTTCAAGGAGATATTAGCTGAGGAAAATATGGGCTTGAGGAAATCTGAAATTGAGATATTTTATGCAAGTGGGGCCTGGACACTATTGATTTAGAAAGGATATAGAAAGATAAGTGAACGAATATCACTACCTTACTGGATATAAACAAAAACATTTACATGATAAACAACACATAACTAACAATTCACAAACAAATCCAAGAAATTCATTATACTTAATCAATCGTGAGATTGAAAGTCAGGCACCCATTTTGATTTTTGATTTGTGTTTTAAAAAGTAGAAAAAAGAACAAAACAAAATCCCAAAGCTATCCTCATTATTAACACAGTGGTCCACCGAGAATGGATCGGAACCATTCACATCGATGGGAGGAGACATTCGGGATCTTTTTAACGGCTGCCAACACGTCGGCCATGCTTCCCTGAGCACTTTTCTCTACACTTGTGTGTATTGAGTCTTTGACGTGATCGTATCTTGGATCAAGTGACCCTCCATTAGCCTCGCTTTTACTTGAGATGGGGATGTGATCTTGTCCATTAGCTGGCCTAGTAGTACGGTAGCCCCTTGATTGTCAGCTGGTACATGTAGATGACGTAAGGGTACTAGAAAATACCGTAGACATAAGTCGCAGTGACCTGGATTCCATTAATGTGTCGGATCCTACTTCGTCGGTTAAATGTGTACCAGTCCAAAACAGGTTTCAGGAGTAATGTTGGATCAATCTAGTGAACAATTAGTAATTTACTCGACCGGAAAAAGTAGTAACACCCCAACAGGCATCCAAACTGGCTACATCCTCAAGGTCCTACAAGCTAGCATAATGCTAATGATCAATTTAAGAAATAACAAGTACTAATTGTAATGGCGGACCATTACAAATGTCCCCCAAACAACCCCTTCAGCAGTAAATGATCACAATAATCAGACCTGCAGTCATGCCAAACATGGACTACGCCATTTTACTCCTATGGTGCCACCTAATACCAATTTTCACGAAAATCAGACAATATCTAAAATTTGGCCAAATTTTGACCACAGCTGACCGCTCAGATGACCGATTGATGGCCGAACGAAAAAATGAACTACGCCATTTTGCTCCTATAGTGCCACCTAATACATATATACCAATTTTCACGAAAATCGGACAATATCTAAAATTTGGCCAAAATTTTGACCACAGCTGACCGCTCAGATGACCGATTCGAAAAATTCAAGTGGCCCGCACTCCGCCTCGCATGTATGAATATGTGTGTAAAGTTTTGTTTAATTCCATGCAGTCGGTTTTGAGAAACGCGTCGGAAACCTCGCCGGCGGAAGAAAGCGGAAGAAATAAGAATAATATAAATTATAATAATAATAAAAAGAAACGGAGCAAACACAATATGGGGGGCATAATAAAGATCATTTTTACTTTATTCAGACACACCAAAAAGCAGTTTCATTAATTCAATTTCTGTAACTCATCTATAACTTTACAATTAATATAAAACTTTCAGTATAGAATGGTCATCAATTATTTTCCCTCTTTGTATGTTTAAAGTTCTATTTCATTGTAAAAACATGCAGGAGACAATATTATCAATGTTGAAAAGATGTCTTTGGTAAATTGTTGTTTTGTAATTGGTAATGCAATCCATGAAAAGTGCCATCGCCATCATTATGTCATTCAATGTTAACAGCCATCACCATCTTAATGTCATTCAGTGTTAACAACCATCACCATCTTAATGTCATATCAGTGATAACAGCCATCTCCATCTTAGTGTCATTCAATGTTAACAGCCATCATCATCTTAAGTTCATTCAGTGTTAACAGCCATCACCATCTTAATGTCATTCAATGTTAACAGCCACCATCATCTTAAGTTCATTCAGTGTTAACACCCATCTCCATCTTAATGTCATTCAATATTGACACCCATCAACATCTTAATGTCATTCAATGTTAATAGCCATCACCATCTTAATGTCATATCAGTGATAACAGCCATCTCCATCTTAATGTCATTCAGTGTCAACAACCATCACCATCTTAATGTCATTCAATGTTTCAAACCATCACCATCTTAATGTCATTCAATGTTAACAGCCATCTCCATCTTAATGTCATTCAATGTTAACAGCCATCACCGTCTAAATGTCATTCAATGTTAACAGCCATCACCATTTTAATGTCATTCAATGTTTCAATCCATCACCATCTTAATGTCATTCAGTGTTAACAACCATCACCATCTTAATGTCATTCAGTGTTAACAGCCATCACCATCTTAATGGCATTCAATGTTAACAGCCATCACCATCTTAATGTCATTCAGTGTCGTAAGCCATCACCATCTTAATGTCATTCAATGTTAACAGCCATCACCATCTTAATGTCATTTAATGTGAAGAGCCTTCATCAACAATTTTCATCCTGAATGACAGGTATTGTGATGTATGACATATCGATAAAACTCATATGTATTATTATCATTATTGTATTTTAATCACATGACAACTCATGCATCAAACAACACATTCCATGGGTGAATAACATCGGACTTATGTTTTTTCATGATAATGCAATGAAAAAAAATCGATTCCATTTCGGAGACAAATTGCTGCAGATGAAAGAAGTAAAATGCTTAAAAAAAAGCAAGTCCTTTCGATAGTAATTTTCTCGTGCGTCCACCATTTTAATTATCTCTAAATCAGTCACGAGACCGTAGCGGATATAGTTGTTACTTTTTCTGCGGATACGGCATTATTCAATAATTACTATCACCACCAAACTAAAGTATATATATATATATACCACAAGGTCTCAGCTCTGAAATATAACTTTTGTTGAAAAATAGAGATATCCAAAAAACAAAACAAAATAGAAATAAAACACACTTATATATCAAGAGATTTTAAGAAATAAAGGGATTTTTTAAAGATAGATTGAAGGTTAAAAAGAATTTGTATGCAAACTTAATAAATTTTACGTGTTTGGTTTATCGCGAGACAGTCACAATATCACTCATTATGCAGATGAAGGGAAGTAACTCCGTCATTCTAAGGCCAAGATTTCTTTTTCTGTATCATTGTTCCTGTCATTATTTTAAAACTTTGATTCCCTTTTGTTAAATCTAAAGGAAATAGTATCATAAATTAATATTCAACACTATATAATGATATTAGGTCAAAATGAAGACATATAATTGCAACTTAATTGTCATGCTTCCAGCAGAGAGATCTTTTAAGTTGTTAATTTGGATCACGAGCCAATACCGGTCACACTTTATTTTATCTATATTGTATATGTTTATACTTATCCTAAATATATTAATTTCAACTGTAGTATATAACACTTTACCTGTATTGTATATTCTCAACTGTAGTATATAACATTTTACCTGTATTGTATATTCTCAACTATAGTATATAACACTTTACCTGTATTGTATATTCTCAACTGTAGTATATAACATTTTACCTGTATTGTATATTCTCAACTATAGTATATAACACTTTACCTGTATTGTATATAATAACTGTAGTATATAACACTTTACCTGTATTGTGTATTCTCAACTATAGTATATAACACTTTACCTGTATTGTATTTTCTCAACTGTAGTATATAACACTTTACCTGTATTGTATATTCTCAACTGTAGTATATAACACTTTACCTGTATTGTATATTCTCAACTGTAGTATATAACACTTTACCTGTATTGTATATTCTCAACTGTAGTATATAACATTTTACCTGTATTGTATATTCTCAACTATAGTATATAACACTTTACCTGTATTGTATATTCTCAACTGTAGTATATAACACTTTACCTGTATTGTATATTCTCAACTATAGTATATAACACTTTACCTGTATTGTATATTCTCAACTATAGTATATAACACTTTACCTGTATTGTATATTCTCAACTATAGTATATAACACTTTACCTGTATTGTATATTCTCAACTGTAGTATATAACATTTTACCTGTATTGTATATTCTCAACTGTAGTATATAATACTTTACCTGTATTGTATATTCTCAACTATAGTATATAACATTTTACCTGTATTGTATATTCTCAACTGTAGTATATAACATTTTACCTGTATTGTATATTCTCAACTGTAGTATATAACATTTTATATAACACTTTACCTGTATTGTATATTCTCAACTGTAGTATATAACATTTTACCTGTATTGTATATTCTCAACTATAGTATATAACACTTTACCTGTATTGTATATTCTCAACTGTAGTATATAACACTTTACCTGTATTGTATATTCTCAACTGTAGTATATAACATTTTACCTGTATTGTATATTCTCAACTATAGTATATAACATTTTACCTGTATTGTATTTACCTGTATTGTATATGTTTATACTTATATTGAATTTATAGATATTAGTAGCATTATAGCACATACTGCTAATAACCACAAGTATGGTCACTCGAAACACTGTATCAGCTCTCACGGTAAAACTATTGTATGTTGAAAATTCAAATTTCTCTTTATTGATAGGACAGGAATTGGCCATGAACTTTGACACTGCATATGATTACAGTACGATTATTTTTCTGATATCGAAATATTAAAAAAGATAATTTTAGATAAATAATATACTGAAAATATGCATTGCACAGTTTATGTGCTGCTTGGCAGATCAAATCTTTTCAAAATTAATTTTTGAGTCGGTTCATGTGCGGAGCATAAATTTATTTGTATACTTTTATTATGTAATGCCTATTTGCGTTGAAATCTTTGGGTGTATACATGTACATATGCACTTTGTATTGAATAAAGATCATTTGAAAACTTCCTGGTTATAAAAATAGCACTGTGTTATCAACTAGTAGTTTAAACACATGCGTGTAGGAAGAATATAACATAGTCTTCAAACAGTTATAACAAGCTTGGCGGTGGTACAGTAAGGTAAACAGCTATTTCCTGTACAGTCTACCTGGATGTAAGTATATCTTGTCTTGTTACTTACTGTGGTATAATCTCACAAATGCAAGTTAATGATAAGGAACGTGGTGTTTGAACCCTTTAGTAGAACTGTGACCGTCAAAAAAGGTAGATACGACAGTATACAAAGTAATTATATTAGCTAACTTTAAATAACAACCGAAAAGTTTGAGTGTGTGTGTGTATGTGTGTGTGTGTGTGTGTTACCTGTAATGATACTTGTACTTGTCAATAAATATCGAAATTCGTAGCATGGCAATGAAATGTTATTACGTAATTTTTTGACAATCTTAGACATTAATTTTTCATTAACTTAATTGTACATGTATATCTTAGTACAATGTTTAAACTGCTTCGTTTGTGTTAAATTCTAAGCGTGTTAATAGGATATCGCATAATGTTTTGTACCTCTAATGAAGAAAAGTTCAGCAACACGCAATTCATGCAAGATTATGATATATTGATAATTTTTTTTCGGAATTGTAACACTATATTGGAAACGGACTCATTCAGCCCAGGATCTCTGTCTCTCTCTCTGTTTCTCTCTCTGTATGTCTCTCTGTCTGTCTGTTTCTCTCTCTCTCTCTCTCTCTCTCTCTCTCTCTCTCTCTCTCTCTTTGATTTGGCTTGACCAATAACATATATTACATGCTTTAATGTATTTGACGTATCTACTCATATCCTAAGCTAAATTGTTTTTGCTCCAGCAGACATTTTAATGAAGCTCCTGAAGGCCTAACCTATTTGGGCCTCCTGTCTGTACGAGAAAGCATTTCCAAACGTCTTCTGTTCGAGAACCGTGAGGTTTATTTAAGCGAACCATTGACCACAAGCTTTTCAAGAAACGAAACGGGCTATAAGTCATTTAGATCTGGATACTCGAAATGGATTTCGTCGACTTTATGTAACTATTTTTCTTTTTAATGTAGAAGACGCTTACCTTTCCGGTACACCTGGCCTTATTCTCTCGATAACTTTTCCGAAATTTCGCGTGTAAATCTTTCGTTGTTCAACTTTTGCCCTGGGTTGATCGAATTTGAGCTTTGATTAAGATGCTGTTTATATGTTGATATTTTCTTTATTTCTCACTAATTTACTTAATCTGTATTCTATCTGCCAATAAGTTGGTAATTATTTCAGTTTTACGTAACTAACTCTCCTTTTTATATTCCTCTTATCTGTCTTGTTTGTCCTATACAGCATACCTCTCTTATTCTTTATATGTCATGTTTTAAATACTTCACCGAGAAACTGTTTGATTTAAACAAATTTTATCGCCACAAAGAAAAGCAATATGATTAGACAAAAGTTATATCACCATTATCAGCGTATTCAGCGTATTTCCAAAAAATCATCTGTTTGAAAAGGAAATACTTAATATTTGTGTTTACATGTAAATCAACTGAAATTAACGCTTATGTAAATCAAAACGAAGACAATAAAAGAAATGGTGAATGGCGTTTTAACCAAGTCTACCTCATAAACACTCGGGGCTTCAAGACTTAATCGAAATATGTAGTATCTGAGAGAATGAGGACCAATACTTAAACTGTATTGTTGACGTAACTTGGTATTTCATATTGACCTTCCTGTCACCTGTTTGGAGGTGACAACATATCTAAATCTGTTGTGATGTTTTTTTTTTTTTTTTTTTAAATGTCCACGGAAGGTAAAATATAGGGCCGATATCTAGTTAATTCTATAGAGGAAGGGTTTAGAGTAAAAAGGCCGTATTCAAAGTAGAAAGTATATACTTAAAAATTTCGAAATCATTTCTCTTTCAAAGAGGACATCTTCTGTGATTTTTATCAGAAAGAGTTTCTTTTTCCAAGTACAGAAAATCACTATTTGCATATGAAGGTAAAGCACTCATGATACGAACAAATTAGTCATAGCACAGACACACTGCAAACATCTCGTAGCTAATTAGCATATTCCAATACTCATAAAAATGCTTGTATGTATTTAATACCATGTCACGTTTGAGCACATTATTCCATTTTCTGAGCGCATCATCTTTTTTAAAACAAATATATATATACTACAGGCATCATATTTCCCATCAGCATTGAAAATAACATTTGTGCAATATTGTGGTACAAAATCTGTTGAATTGAAAAAAAAAGTTTAAAATATCTAAGTAAGTGATCAAATTCGTTTATCTTTACTTACCAGAACACAGGTTATGATTCCTATAAAATAGTCAGTAGAGAAACAGGTTATACAACTTCAGGTAAACATTCGAGGTGAGTAGTTCGACCCCAATCAACAGTCCAGTCGATGAAAAAAGGAAAACATGACATTTCATTTCGGTTTTTTTTTCTGTTGTCCCTTCTCTCTTCCCCTCCCCCCTCCCTTACCTGCTTAACATTGAATTCCTAAGGATAAATATGATATACACTTCATCTTTTGCATTTTATTTACAGTTTTCAAGCACACCTACTTTGCTACTCTTTAATCGTTGTTCTGAACGTTTGAAACATTGCATAGTGTGGCAGTTTTAAATAAAACATCCATAATGTTAATTAAAAAGTGAATTTATTTTATATTTCACATGCCAAAATGATGATACGTACACAAAAATATTGACAGATGGTTTTATATATGAAAATATTGTAAACATGATGCGTCATAATTTTTACTCTCCTTACAGTGAAAGAAATAGTGAAATGGAGTATCTTTTCGACCAGAATCAGGAGGAAGACTGGCCGGAATTTTTCATGAGGTACAAAGACAAGTTTCCTCTCTTAGTGTATATTGTTGGTGGAAACTATGGCGAGACGACGTTTGATGATTTCTGCAGTGATCAAGTAAGGAGAGATTCATCTAATACGCGAACAAAGTTTTGTTTAAAAATATGGTTTTGTTATCTATTTTACTTTATAACCATGAATATTTTTCTAATGAAATACTTTTAAACAGTTACAATATTTCCAAACAACATAGAGAAATGACTACGAAAACAAATACACTTAGAATACTGATTTATGTTTTGAATAAAACCTGCGATACAGATTATTTAACTTTTTGATAGATTGAACCGCTTACTGTTGCAGATTTATCGAGTTGAGACATATTCCGAGCAAAGGCGTATAGTAGCCAAAGCGTCAAAGGTGTACGACAGATTGGTAGACATCTATCTCTCTATCCCGATCACCACTAAACACAAGTTCTGTGTTTTAAAGGGACATAAAGAAAGTAAGCATGGTAGCCAACTGACTGTATCCCAGAATTCACCCATTTGAATAACGGCGCGGTTATTTATTTTCTTGGGGTTGGGGCTAAGGGATGCACATAAACGTATGTTTTTTGTAATTCTTATTTTATAAGTCGCCCTCAGGTTTCACAAGTTTTGACCCTTGAAATGATTGTCGAGCAACAGCTGTCTGATAAATTAAAATCATTATTTGGTATACTGTATCAAATACTGTTTGAAAATGTAATGACATTTTCTTAGCGCGTTTGTGTCTTTTGTACAATCTTCATTTTTCTCGCACATCCGTCGCATGCTAGCATATAATATTTTCATTTCGCCTCATAAGCTTACAAATTAGACCCTTAGCAATTATCGACGTATATTAGGAGCACGGAACAGCCGTATGATGCAGTATCTTTCATTATTTAACTCTACAGTATTTAACTCTAAATTGCACAACGCACCAAAAACTTCGTGAGCACAATGGCGAGTGTTGGTGTCTCGGGCAACTAAAAGAATAGGTCCGGATCCGTACCGGCTGTGTCGCTCGTGTAAAATCACTTAGTATTTACCTAAGCATACAAGTTTTGTTTTCAAAACGAATGAAGCATGAGAGTAAAACAGAAGTAATGAAAATATAATTTCCTTTCTGACGGTATGATATTTTTTAAATGATTCATTGCTGGGACATAAAGAGACATCAATTAAATGTTTACGTGTAATGTATATCTAATGCGTGTGTATACACTAAGGCTAATGTGACTCTTTGTAAACAAAACACTTAAGATAACGAGAGTATCTAATTATTAATTGTGTGTCTGATATAACAACAGATATCCCACTTATACTTGAAAGGCGTACTTAGGAAATATACTTAGATATATTCTTAAGTATTAAGAAAATAAATAAACCCTATCCCACACTTATCTATTAGTCATTTCTAAATTTATATCGACCACGAATCACACATTTGTACGATAGAACCACACTCGTGCACACAAATGTACGATAGCTTATTTCGTTAAATTTTCCTATCGTGCGCACATCACACATCGTGTAACATTGTTCGATCCCACCACTGTACAATCTATATATACTCGAAACTGTACTTATGTTCAGTATCTAAGACCTATCAATTCTTAACAGTTGGAAGCATCTAGAGTCTAAGAATAGACCTGTTGACACAAGATGTTTTTGAAAGTTATTTGTTCAAATCTATTTGCCAATGGATAAGTAAGGTATGATAAGATTCCGATGTGAACTGGTCCAACTGCTGCAATTTTAGTTTGTTAACGTCCATCGTTCTTTATCAGCATTACTTCATGCTAATTTTCTTATGCTCCGATACTTCGCTCTTGCTTCATAATTATTCTGGTACCTTCCTGCGCTTTCTGCCATGATCTTGGCAGCTTTTATTTTCATTCTTCTCCCGCTTTGACCTCGTTTCCGGTTCATCATCATTATCATCATTTGCGATAACTCAGTCGGTTTAAGAGTTGACCTAGGTAACATTTACACGGCGAAAAAGTACAAGGAGAATAAGACCAGGGTGTTCCGCAAGAGTTTCCTTTCTTCAGAGTCTTTAGAGTAATAATAAAGTTTGAAATAATAATAATGATAATATATATATATATATATATATATATATATATAATATTGTGCTCTGTTTTAGAAGCTGAACCACCCACAACCCTTGAAGAAATTGTTAGGGAGCGCCCATTTCCCATTTCAGTGAAATTTGCTCCTGATGTAACGGAAATCTATGTTGGAAATAGCCGTGAAGACGTATCGTCCTACGCCACGATATTGTTGACAAGAGAATACACAGAGAACTTTATTCTCGGCAACTGTGTATTGAATGGTGAGTCATTGTAATATAGGGATATATATATATATATATATATATAACTAGCTACCCCGTGCTCAAAATTTCCATCAAGGCAGTCCGGTTTCCTTAAGTTACGGTTGACGCACAACTGCACATGCCTTCTATTGTGTTTTAACCACATAATGTTAGGCTGGTAGATATTTTATTTACTTCTTTTGAATGGCATTCTCTCCAATTACATACTAATATGTACAAGTTTTATACCATTGTATTAAAATGTGTTAAAACTTCCATCTAATTCGATATACAGTATGGGAGAGGGCTTCTATAGGAATTGTCTGTTGCTCTATTCCAATTAACTATTTTTGATTTGATATTTTGAAGTGAAATATAGAGTCTGACATTGAAAATGTTTAGATTAAAAACCTTTAAAAGTAATTTATGTTTCGGTAGGCCTCCTGGTATCTAAACATTTCTCCAATTGTAAATGCATCTTAATACAATTCTCCTAATTAACGATTTTCATTAATATCCATTGGTGTTAAGGAACATCCTTAGAATTCTATAGTCTTTATCATATTTGTGATACACGGTTTCAAATCAATTAAAATATTTTGTTAAGATTTCATTGTACCAACTTCAAGATTTGGGATGTTGTCACAAATTGCAAACCAGCTTAGAGAATATTTTGGTTCCTGTTAAATTGTATGAAAACGTATTTTTACTAGGCACAATATGCAAAGGCGTTTCGATATCGGCTATAAGTCGTCTGATTTCTGTGGCACCTGTAAACGGCATTAAAGGGAAATCAGCTGACTTCTTCCGGAAGCAACTTAACAACATGCAAACAGCCTTGAGTAACGTCAGATATGATCGCACCGTTGGGAATCCAAGTAGGTATATGGTCCTAAACATGAAGTGTGCTTATTGATTTAACATTGATTTCTAACTATTTCAATCGATGTTACATTTGAAAATCACTTTTCAACACAAAGTTTATAATACCTTGGTAACTAAAATGATGTGTTGTCCTTTCTCTTTACGATATATATAGTTGTTAAGGTAAGTATATTGAGAATGATTTTGACTAAAACTGAACGTAATATGTAATTAAATGCAGACAAGACCCTACATGTAAAGGTTAACGTAACTAATAACCAAACGGTGTAAAACGTACTCTTTATATCACTTTCTTAACAAGTTGGACTTTTCGTGATCAGGAGTTGATAAGGCCTTATGCAGCGTCTCGTAAATGAATTAATAATTGTTATTCGATCACCAAGATTACGATTATCATTCAATTAATATCAAGGAAATATGAAATGCATACTGTGAACAATTGTTGGTTTCCAATGTGAACTTAAAACGAATCACATAAATATATACAAATATGTTGCATGAGACCATATGTAAGTTTAAAATGTTAATTGAAATAGCATTAAGGTAAACTCACTAATTTTCACGCCATTTCCGTTTATATCTAGAAGCAATCCGTTATCTGATAAACGACGTGAAATCTAAAACATTTTCATTTTGAACAGGCATAACAAAAATAACTTCTGAAGGTACCGGGACCGGAAATATTCTTCCAAACATTGATCCGCCTTTACTTCCAGTGGAAGAACCCACCAAAAAGACAACCGAAAACTCTGAAGATTATGATGACGGTATGTATGAGATCCCTCCTGACGTAGGGCCTCCATTACCACCACGGAAAAAGGATTTACCACCATCATCGTCTTCTGAATCAGCGAATGTTCCATTACGCACAAAGAAATTTTACGAAAATGCGGCGATAGTAAATCCCCTTCAACATGTAAAACAGAATACAAAAGGAGCCACACAAAATGCTAAATCGACATCAACGAAATCTGTAGAAAATTCGCATACTGTTCTTTTGAACCCAGGAACGTTAAAACCACAGTCAGAAATGACAAGTTCCAAGTCAGAAGGTGGACCTGTGCAGGATCCCAACTGCCCTTCAGCAAACCGTAGCGGTCTGTTAAGCGAAGGCATTTACATACAAATGAAAGAAGGCGATTTATACGAAGAATTGAGTCCGATGCCACTGGATGCGGAGGCGACATATCGACAGACTGGTGATAACAATGCGGCTACTACAACACCTTCAGCGAGGGCAACTAGTAGCGGGCAAACACATTTGCTTAATTTATCTGTAGAGGAAATCGGAGCTTGTTTGAAAAACTTGAATCTTGAACAATACGTTAAACAGTTTTCTAATGACATGATTGATGGTGTTATCTTGAGCGAGCTGGAAAAGGAAGACTTAAAGGAATATGGATTCACAAAAGTTGAACTAGTAAGACTTTGGAAGTTTATAACCGACGGTTATATTCCTAGGTAAAGTTACTTTCGCTCTACACTTGCTTTTTTGAAGTTAAACGTTACTTATACGTTTAATCAAACTTTCTGATGACATATAAATAAATGTATGTTTTCTAAATGTACATGTTTGTAATAGGTTAGTGTTTATTTTCCTGGAAAGGTACTGATTAAGTGCTGGAACCTTTCCTAATCTTTTGATTCCGATCGAAAGTGCTGAAAAACGACCTTTTTTTGTGTTAGCACACCAATATGTTTTCCTAGGCAGCGAAATTAATATGAGCAGAACAACGTGTTAATATTAGTTATTGTTAAGGTAATATTATGTTTCAAACACGTTGATTTTGTTGTATTGATTAATGGCAGAAAATATTGCTAGCCAATGTTGTGGTGATGAGAATTTATTATTTTGGAGTAGTCTTCATACAAAACTCACGAATTCTGAAACTCATACATTTACCTATCTTGTTGCCACATTTGGTATATCTATCATTAATTAAATCATTTGTACAGAGGAAATTTCGAATAATGTCAAATATTTGCTTTATGTTTCCTTTGCGTACGATCAAATGTCTCTCAAATTGCACAAACATTGATTACACATACACTGTACATGTAAATTATTGCAATTCCACATTCTTAAATCTTTAACTATCTTTAGAAAATCAGAATTGAAAGAAAATCATTATGTTATATTAATAAAGAAAGTCTATCCTCGGGATTCAGTGTCCATTGACACTATTCATATAAGTTTACTCATCACATCTCAAACAAATGGACAAATTATATAAATGGAATAAATACTATGAATATCTATGTCTATTGTTCCATAAAACTCATCAGGCTGCACATCCATTTCCATGAAATTCTTATTTTGGCATTTTAGGGCAAGATAAATTGTTGCAGCAATACTAATAACTATATGATCAGCATAAAGAAATTACAACCAGTGCAATCATAGAGCAGAAAGTGCTCGAATAAGACTTTTGGTGAAATATGAACATTGATAGTTGTTATATTTTACGCCATATTCTAACGATATGGTCCAAGCCTTCCTTAACTATTTCATGTTTCAACATTTTTCGATGATTATGTAGAGTGTCAATAGATGACATTAATGAATAAAACCCCTTTAGTACATCAGAATTTTGTTCCAATTCCTTGTAGAATTACTTTATATAAATTCTTGTTTTGCCTATTAATCATATGCACAAAGTCATTTTTTTTGCAGTTTTTCTCTCTCATTTTCATTTTGATTGCAAAAGGTAATCTTAGTAACCGCTACAGTATATACTTGATTTATTTATGTTTGGTTTCTTTTTTGTTATTACATTTTTCATTCTTTTAAAAATACATTAATGTGAAAAGATTATAGTTGAAGGGCATGATTTATATGTATCCATTCTGTGGAAAATGTTGTTTTCATATTTAAAATTATATACTTTCAAAATGTATATTCCGTATTCATTTTGTCAGATCTTGTGTAAGCAACCTTAATGTCGAATATTCGAACTTCATGTTCCCATTTCAATACTGTAAACCGAATTTCTTTGGTGTACGAATTGTTTTCCCCAATTTCGTGTCAAAAGAAAATTCATCAAATTATTTCGTCGCGAATTGAGGGAGGTGTAATGAACAATGTTATTAATTAGGTCAAATATTGTCCGTTTTGCAGAAAACGTTAGGTAATCGTGGAGATTAGTAGTAACGACAGAAAGGTATTTTTGCAGTAGTACACGCTAAATATAAGTGCATTCGTTGACATCTGTATTGTGAAATGATTCAATTTAACTCTTAACGTTTTGATTGTATATTGATTCTTTGTGTGATAACTACAGATTGAATACTTGCATAACACCTTGCAATACAGAAATGATACAACTGTATCGCAGAATTACATTTTCAAAAACATAAACTGATGGGTTTTTTTGCAATGATGAAAGAGTGGATATAATTCCACCATAGTGAATGAGTAATTTCATCTTTTAGATTAGGAAGTATTTGATATCTGATTATAACAGCGAGATACTGGCTGGTAAAGGGAAGTGTGATGTACCTCTGTCTTACATTCTTTTTTTGTTTTTGTATTTAATTGATAATTAAAGTCTGCTGTGAATAACAAAAAATGTTCCCTATAGAGTATTAGTGCCAAACTTGTAGGGAACGTACACACTACATTAAATTAAGCCAAAATCATCGAAAATGTGACATATATGTAATGTATTTAACTGCTTTTGTGATATATTGTGATTCTGAGGATAAATATACTTGACTATTTATATATCAGATTTGCTGGTTGTAAAATAGAAATAAAACTGATTCGTTGGCCTAATGTCAAATACATGTAATGCAGTTATTCTTTAAAGGCAATGTCTACATCATGAGTCGCTTCAATCTTTTATGTGTATTCAGGTAAACAATGTTATGAAACTCAGTATTTAAAAAAGAGAATTGAGATATACATGAATTTGAGCCGATGTGAATATACTGTTGTCAGTTTCCTACAAAATTATTTCATTTAAACTTTATCAATTGATGCATTTACCTAAATTGTTCGAAATTTGAACAGTTGGTCGAAATAGAATAAAAATAGAAGGGAAAAAAAAGCAAAAAACAAAAACATCAACACGAACGTAATTGACTCCAGAGGAAACATGTGAATAGCTATGTTTTAATTTCAAATTACATACATTGTTTCCACACATTGTAGTTGGCAGGTACTCTCTGTAATTTGCAATTTGTAGCGATAAGAAATAGAATAAATGAATTTTAGTACATTATTTGTTGAAAAAATGTCGATCATTTAAACTCTAAATAACCTCACATAGAACGAACAACAGGATGCCATTATTGATATCCTCGATCAAAAACTACATTTAAACACATTTAAAAAAAAAGATGGAAGATCTATATACAATGTACTAGTTAGTTAATTACGCAGTAGTTCTCGAGGTCACAGTAAGAGTCACACGTAAACACATAGTTATTATTAAAACACATATTCTGTAGAATTATCTTTTCTCATCACTTATTATACAACGAATTCTACTTTATGCCAAGATAATTTAGATAAAGGTTGTTGGGCACGATTTTTCGTTATGGCTGATACAATTATGTATAAAGTACGCAGTATCACATCACACAGGCGGCCGCGTAATCTTGTCCTGTCCCGTTTTTTTTTTTGTCCTGAACGTAAACGTTTGACATCCGTAATAGCGAGACTCTCTTGATATAAAATGACACTGACGCACTTGTCAGGCTTATGCTCATTCACAATCATTTAAAATCATTGCACAATCTTTGAGATAGCAGATGGTCGACTCTGCTGGTGGAGTTTTAATTACCAAGGATTGCTGTAACCTGCGTGCCACGTTTTAATTCAATCGAATACCGGTAAGCTTCAGATTCCGTTCTTAGAGTATGTGATATATGAAAATTATGAAATTTATTTAATAATGGGACTACTGCTTTAAATCATTAAAGTCCAACCTATCTACATATATAGTGTATTGTTAACATAATGATGTATTCTTTCTTTATTTTGAGATGGTAGCCATTACGGGACAAAAATGCATGCAAATACTTTATACCTAAAATAACTGCAGTTAATTATTACTTTTAACTCGATTTGTCATTGCCTGAAATTTGAATATATTGGATATGGTAATATATAGTAATAGGTATTTCGTTGTTCATGCTGGTGATATATCTAGGTTGTGATAGGTATTGACTATGATATATATAAATGCATTAATATTTGTTTACATATCGTATACATAAAACCAGTAATCCTTTGTGGGGTTATGTCGCTGTTAATTAGCTGATAAATCGACAAGTCAACGGAGGAATATCAGGCATATATATAGATTTTTATAAACATGATACGTATACCAAAATGTTAATGCAAGATTTCAGTTCTTTCACGTTACCTTCATACCCGTGTCAGTATAAATCGTACCCAACGTTGATTAGCCAAAACACAAGAAAATACCAACATTTTAACAAAATCTTAATTCAAAATTTAAAGGGCAAAATATAGACAAAAGTAGGATTTGCACAGAGATCCTTGTAAAATGCCAAGAAAAAGCAGGAAACTCCGGAAAGGTAAAAGTCTTCTGCAAATCAGCATTATCATAATCCAAACTCATATTCCTTAACGCTAGAGCAAAATATGAACAAAGGAAATGTTTTCATGGAGACTCCTGAAATACGGCCAGGTGCTCTGGAAGAGTAAGCGTCTTCTGTGTCATCGACGACACTCACCATGTAAACCTTGGTCAATCCAAGTAAGTCACGTCACGTTCGCAAATGAGAACAAGGTATACAACATCGGAAACATATAAGGAACCAAACTATATCCTACATCTGTTTCGTCCTTCTAGAACTGAGGAAAATCAACAGTGATCGAAAGAGCACTAGCCCTATAATTCAGTAATATTTAATAACGTAATGACTTAGGTTGAGAACCTTGTACATGTTTGTGTGCTGTGTACCGAAGTCCTACATATTGCTGTATTATATTCATGTGTTGTACAATTAGTTACACGGTTCAGTAACTGTGCGTGGTGTGTGTAAAACGGTCGCTCAATAAGATTTTTACAATAATTGTCGTACCTGGTACCTGTACACACGTTAAACCTACTTCTCATAGTGCATAGATTGTTTGTTTCTCTTAGTAACTCCATACTGAGGCATTTAAGAGTGATTTCTTTTCGGATAAGGTAGCTAGTTTTAGATACAAATACATGTATATATACACATACATTTTAACCAGTCCATCAAATACAATTTCCTGAACTGCCCCTAGAGAAGAGTTTTAAAATTTACACATACTCTTTAAGGTTGAACAAATGACAAACAAGTTAATAACACCTTTTAATACAAATGCAGAGTTAATACAATAGACCCAATTATTCTAACTACATAATACATCTATTGTGTCCTTCGAGGACTCGTCAGTGAAGATAAGGGCCTAAACTTTGGACCTTAGCCAGCTAAAAAAAGATAATAATGATAATTGCTGAGGAAGTCCACTGGCCCAATAATTCAATTTGTTGTCGGTTATAGGGGATATTTCATTTGAACTCGGGTAACATGAATAGCTGGTAATGTAAATTTAAAAAAAATATTTAACAAAGCGCAAACAGCTTCATTCTTTTGAAAAACATATTTTGCATCTATATTCTATGATACATTTTAAGGGATTTGTACCGTTTCTGATGTCTTCTCGATCTACACGTTTATAAGATTACCTTAAATGTGCATGAATATCGATTACCTGTTATCAACTTGCGTCTCATATCAACATTACGTTGTTGTGCGCTACGTGTGGCTGATTTTCGTACTTCCTGTATGCATTCCAGCAGGTTATTAAGGGGGACGGGACTGATTACTAACACCACGGTTGTATATATCAAGATACTAGGATATAGTGTTTGAGCTCCAGATATATCGGTACACGTTCGGGTAACAGAACTGTGTTTAGTTTTCAGTCTGCTAGAGAGAGTGATTTCTTAAGTAAGTATCCATATAAACAAACATGGTATGTGTCTTACTTATATACTTACAGCGGTGAAATGTTTTCACGAATGGCGATATTTGCTGTCATTCTTTGTAACGTACTGTTTCCTCAAGGACGTTTTGATATTGAAAATCATCTTGAAAATTTCAGCATTGTAAAAATGAACTTCTTACAACATTCTGTGTATTGTTATATGGATTTTCTACAAAGACTGCTCTCAGCGAATACATAGGTATATTTGAATTCAAGTTAAATCTTGCATTTCTTTTTGTTATCTGTTGTGCTATTCATTCAGTAATATTTATGTGATACAATCATCTAAATATGATCTGCAATATACGTCAATTTGTATAATCTAAAAATTCAATATTTAATTATTAAAGTTGGCATTTCATTATATATGCAATATTAAACAAAAACATAAATTGAATTAATTCTTTAACGTTTATGAGCCAATATATCAAACTGTGTTTGCATATTACATTTGCAGCTCGGTTAATCCTTACATAATACATTGATAACTAAATAACTTTATTGTGTCATGTCTGCGGGCTTACTGTAAAGTCATATTTTCGATTGGCTCGCATTTTATGGTTCTCCAAAATATAACCATTTTCTTTGGCATTTAATTTCGTAATTTCGTTGATAAATCTTCCTCGCAAAATTCTCTAGTATTAAAATTCCTGTCCATCTACTTACACTGATGAGTCGATCAGCATTGTTCTGAAATGGATAATTTGTAAAATTAGGTCTGATACTATTTAAATCAACCAAAGAACAACTAATATTTGATATCCTTTCCAATATGGTTTACGTAGATTCTTCACCTCGCTTTTATCTGTTTATCAATTCATGAAGATATAATACCAATTAACTAAAAAAAACAAAAACAAAAAAAACCACAAACTCCATTATCTTTGCTCAAGTTGGTGGATACCAATCGTCAGGACCAAACAGGAGGTAGTGCCAATTTTATGATGGTTTTAGACGAATAAGAAATAAACCCTTCACAAGGACACCATTCCTATAACCCTACTTAGACTTAAACAATCGAATACCATGTATATTTCTCTTATTATTTTGCTCATTCGATACTTCATTAATTAATGCAGTCCAATGCGTGCACCACATGAGATGCTTTCGGGTTTACTTACCATCACTGTTGTTGTTTAAGCAAATACTGCCTACAGATACGTATGTGTGGCGTACTGTTTTTTCTAATGAAGAATCTTTTTATTATCGTGTTACGAGGCTCATGTTTGTGAGTAAGATTACAGGTCTGATGATACTTGAAAAGTTTACATGTGTTAGCTATGGCGACGCATTTAAACCCATTTGTATGTATAACAGCAACTGACATATTAGGTTTGCGAGCTGGCACATAGTTGACATTCCCAATACATATTTAGGATTTAAGGCTGATTGACTGTAAAATGATTGCCCTCGTTTTTTATTCGCTTTGGATTTTGCTCACTCGGAACAACTAATGCCATATGAATGGTCAGTGTACACATATATAGTGCTATCACACTGTCACACCAAAATGGTGTAACCTTGGGAGAGGGACTCAATAATATGATACCCTACCGGTCAAATGTATCAGAAGCATGCACCCGTTTATCTTTTTGATGGAAAGAAAACATCATTGTTCAGTGGATTTATCATAGATGTCTTAACAAGCACCTGATCTTGGCAGCTAGCTTCACATATATGCGTCCAATTTCAATTTAAGGAAAAGGGAAGATTAAAATATTATTTTACAGTTGTATCGCATCAATGTTAGGGCAGCATAATTAATGATATCATAATGACGCCGTTATACTTGGATAACCAGAGAATGAACCATTCGGTCAGAATCGTTCAAAATATTGTTATGCGGCAGGTTTATATATACATAGAATATTTTAAAGCAATACACAAAATACAACATAATTGATGTTAAAGATTTACTTGTCCTGAAACCAATGTAACATCATTTGACATATCAAACTCAGATCACAGAAGCGTTTACGTATACGGATATACTTAATAATATACAGAATGATAGTGTTGTTATGGAAAGATCAGATATTTATATTCCAGTTTGATAGTCGCCTTACACATCATAATCAGATACTGTGTTTTCATTTACCATTAAAATTTTGATTTCCATTGTTTTCCCGACTCTTGTTGGGGTGCGATAATATATATATAGGATATATAGGAAGAGATTAACGTTATACGAAATCTTATGAAAGCTTTTATAAAAATTGAAACTTGGAGACTAAGACTATTTTAAGTCTTAAGTACTGAAAGTTCTATTTGAAATAACAATGACCAGTTTCCCAGAATCTGAAGCACAAGCCAGTAAGGTATGTTGAACCACAGATCTGATTCTTCACCTGATATTAACGAACGAGTACGGAGATTTGAACCATTCATCCGGATCTACACCTGAGATAAACAAATAAGTAGGGAAACTTAAACCACCCATGCGGATCCTCACCTCAGAAACACAAACGAGAGCTGAACCACACACCAGAATGTTAAGATAAAGTTGCATAAGCAACACTCCCTGGAATGTGATATCACGGTTTTTGGTATTCACAGACTCGGTCTCGATCAATGTTAAACAATGTATATACTAGGCCAACCTTTAGGTGAAAACGTTATTTCTATTACACGTTAGTTATTAAGCGCCGTTGTAAAATTAGTGATTTAATGAGATCACTATTTCGAATCAATGATATTGATAATTCTGGACCTTTAGTGATATTATCAATATAATTTTTTAATTAGTATCATTAATCAGTGATATGAATAATTCTGGATATTTAATGTGCCAATGAAAATTGATATTACATTTGGGAGATAAATATAAATGGCGCCCCATGAGCAAGATAAGAGCTACTGTAAATCAATTTGTATTCTGATAGCTACATCTGTTCTCATACGTCAAAAGTATCCAATAGGATTAGACAGAAACCATTTCCTAAGTAAAGTAGTAAGTATAATAGGCTATGAAAACACACATGGTCATACGTTATCGTGCTATATAGTTAATACATCCTGGTCTTATCGGACAAAAAACGTCCATTTACAAACTCGCTGAAATCAAATTCACTTCCATATACAGGAAATCCTGTTGTCATTAACTACACAGTCAGCCTATCGTATATGGATGCCAAGCGTTAGTTATCAAATCCCAAATACCGTATTTATTTACATGTCATATTTCTGCCATGAAAGAGAAAGAACTTAAAGAACAGAATTCGACACATTCTCAATAGAAATTTACATGTTCTGAATTCACTAAGGTACTCCCCTGGAGGATTTAGAAGTTCGGTATTCACGAAGGCATGCCCTATCAAATTTACCTGTTCAGTATTCACTAAGGCATGCTCTGGCGAAAATAAAGTAAAGAAAATATTATACGATGAATTAAAGAACATCTCCTCATTCTGATGAAATATGTTTCTTTTTTTTTCAGACTTCCCAAAGAATTCAAAATGGATCCCTTTGTAAGTACAGCAAATAAAATGAGATATAAATTTGTATATTTTTAAATTACTATCAGTGTTATGAGAATCCAGAGATTATGTTTTAGGATTCTAAAATCGTAATACATTCATAAGACATTCGCTTAGATTATCATTTATCATTTAAATATTAAAATTGGTATTAGGAAATGTCAGAGTTCATACAATGGCTGACTAAGTAGAGATATGAATGTAAAACAAATTTACTAAACGTTCCACTAGACTGTCTATACACATTTTAAAGATGAGCAAATCGAAATGGAAACATGCACTGTTTTATAATTAATATCAAGCAATTAAAATATTTCTACAGATAATAACGAATTTAAAATTGAAGGACTTATTTTCAGTAATGAAGGCACACAATTGTAAATATTATGGTTTTGGTTTAACAATATCAATGGTAATATATAGTGCTTTGTGATCGGGTTATTCATACAATTTCGATCAGTCTCTTTTTAACGGCATATTATCAATATATAATCTTAACTTAATGAAATGTGTGTGTTTTTTTTACATCTTTTTATGTCGTTTGTTCGATCGCATTGCATTTTTGTAATTTTTTCAGAAATTTTATTTACATATCATCATACAACTCATACATTAGGAGTGGGAACATTGGAATATGGCTACCGAGTAGGCAACACACACTCATATTGCTCTTGTGTTTTATGTGGATGTAGTTATGTTTCTATGAGGAGTTCCATTTACAGTTTTGTCACACAGATGTTTTTGGAACAAATCGATAGTATTGGATTCTGAAACAGGATTTGATGATTTTTAAACAAAAAGTGATTTAGAACTGTGGTGATTGTGAACTGTATTCACCTGTAGTACTGTCACCTGTATTCCTGGATTACCAAAGGACTATACACTTACACAGATACAATTTGTTCTTACCTGGATTTGCCTGTGCTATAAAGTCCTGTCTACTCACACCAAGTCTGGAAGATCTGGAGGGGGTACTTCAACAAGGCAGAGTGTTGCTCTAGATGAAGATATTAGAGAGGAAACAGCAAAGATAAAGGAACAGTTGGATAATGTTGTAAAGAAGGCAGACTTAACAGCATTAGCTGCAGGATTGGTGAACTCCAAGGACATTCAGGGGATAGTGAGTAACATAGTGGAAGCTATGAGGAAAGACCTGGAGATAGATCTGGAACAGAAGATTTCTGACAGAACTGCTAGAATGAGACAGAGGTTGGATACTGTTAACTCACATAACCATAGACTACAAGAATCTCTACAAGTGAAACAGAGGGAGATACAGGAACTGAAGCGGCAAAGCATAGAAAGACAGAATGAGGTAGAGAAAGTAAAAACTACTCTTTCAAAGGAGATGGCAGAAGTTAAAAAGATGGCCCAAGAGGGTATAAAGAAAGGAAACTACAATGAGCAGTACAGCAGGAGAAATAACATCAAGCTGATGGATTTTAAGGAGATGGAAAATGTGGAAGATGAAAATAAGAAAGACTTGGTAGAAGATTTTTGTGATGAGGTGATGAGAAGATCCGTCAGCTTATACAAAGAGAGGACCTTATTGCTGTCCACAGAATTCCAGGGAGGGATACAAGAAGAGCCAGACCTATGGTGATGTAAAGAAAGAGGTCAGAAACAGAGTGATAAGACAAAGGAAATTCTTGATCGGGACAATGAAGCTGGAAGATGATGTGACAGGGGACAATACAGGATTAATAATGACAAGAATGGCAATCGCATTGGGAACGCCTGGTACTTTAGCAGTCGTGTCTTCGCGGTCTGTGGTGGTGTGAGGAAACCTTTTGACTTATTCCAAAGTGTGGAAGATGTGTTCCAAAGCTGGTAGACAAAAGTGTACTGTTGCTTATGCTTCGTAATTGTTATTTTGTGTGTGTGTGTGTGTGTGTGTGTGTGATAGTGTGGGATTTAAGGAAGCTATATCATTTACAACGTAAGAATAATTGTGTTCTATATTACTTGCACTGTAGTTTTTGCATACATGCGCATATACATAGGTATAAATATGGGAAAGTATATTTGAAAAGTGGTATTATACTGAAAGTATTGATTTTAATAAACTTTAAAAGGTAGATTATGTTGACCAACAAAATGATGTAGAGTCAGATAAGGTATCTTTGTATGTATGTATACAAAGAGCTTCTGTTTCTAAATAGGTAAAGGTATAAATTAATTAATTAAGTCTAAGTGACCTGTATAAGATATATTTACAGGTATACAAAGAGCTTCTGTTTCTAAATAGGTAAAGGTATAAATGAATTAGTTAAGTCTAAGTGACCTGTATAAGGTATATTTAAAGGTTTACAGAGAGCTTCTTTTTCTAAATAGGTAAAGGTATAAATGAATTAGCTAAGTCTAAGTGGTTACTTTTAAGTAGTTTAATTTGAATGGGAAAATACCTAATGTATTGCAGTGATAATGTTACATATTTCCAGTATAAACCAATATATTGGTGGTCGCATAGCCAGGTTAACTGTAACGAATGACACATTATTAAAGGTTAGTTACAATCCTACCTTTAGTAAATTCAGTCGTTATATTGTGATAAATTATTAGAATACAGTCACTATAGTCTATGATATTATTTGAAAATACAGCCAAAGTTGAAGGGTTTATATCTTAATTATCAAACCATGTATGATTACTTTATAATTTTTCATTTTGTTCTCCTTTAAAATACAAAGTTGTAGAGAGCATGAGAGGAAACGTAACAATCAGATGTGCTCAGCCGATACAGCCATGGTCATAGGCTTTTTAAATGTATTATGTAAGAGTGTAGGTGTCATCTTTCTAGGGGACAGACTTTGTGTGAGAGGGTTCCAGGGGGTAGGGTTAATGGGCTACTATCTGTGTTATCCTAGTTGCTATGGGTAGCATAAAATGTATGTCTGTGAATGTCAGGGGTTTATATGCTGATGTCATTAAAAGGTGAGAAGTGTTCCACTGGGTCAAACAGAAAAAAACAGATATTGTCTGTTTACAAAAAACACATTGTACAGATGAAGTAGAACAATTATGGGAAAACGAAAGGGGGTACAAATGTGTATTTGGCAAGTTTAGTTCTCGATCAGCTGGTGTAGCAATATTGCTTAGAAATACATTTGCATTTTCAATACATGGTAGCAGAATAGACAATGCAAGTCATTTTAGACATATCAGTAAATCAGAATAGGTTAACACTAGGTAGTGCATATGGTCCAAATCAGGATTCTCCAGTTTTTTTTTTTTTACAACATTTCTGAATAACCTGCAAGCTTTCAATAACTCATCAGTACTCTTATGTGGTGATTGGAATGCTATTCAGGATTAGAATATGGATACGAATAATATATTAAACAATAATAATCCTAAGGCACAAACAGTGGAAAAAGACATAATAGATAAATATGACTTGGTTGACCCTTGGCGACAGTTCCATCCAGATTTAAAATCTTTAACTTGGAGGCAAAGAAATCCAGTTAGGCAAAGTCAACTTGATTACTTTCTTACTTCTAACGAAATATACCTGAGAATGAAGGATTGCAAAATTATACCCGGACATAAAGCTGATCATTAATGTATTGTTTTCGAAATCAATTTCAAAAATTTAGAAAGGGGTAAAGGACAATCCTGAAGCATTCGAAATAAGAATAAATGATCAACTATTTTTCGAAACCCTGAAAATGAAAATTAGGTCTACTACAATGACATATTCAATAGCTAAAGCCAAGAATACCAGGAAGGAAGAAAACAGTCTTGAAACTGATATAATTATACTAGAAAATCAAATCAATCGGTCACTTGATAGAGAACATTGTAAACGGTATGAAGATAAAAAAACAGCAGTTAGAGAATATTAGAAAAAACAAAAATAGAAGGGTTAATATTCATATCAAAGGCAAATTGGTTTGACAATGGAGAAAGGGCAACCAAATATTTGTGTTATCTAGAAAAAAGGAGTTTTATAAATAAATCTGTAATATAGTTGATTGCAGAATATGGTAGCATTCTTGACAGTCCATTGAAAATAATCCAGGCGGAGGTCGACTTTTTCAAAACTCTCTATATTTCTTAACAACCAGACTCAATCCAAATTGAAAATTCATATTTTTTAAAACATCAGATCAAATTAAATCAAAGTGATCAAGGTAGTTGTGAAGGAATTTTATCAATAAATGTATTGGCTAAGGCTTTGAAAAATATGAAAAATGACAAGAGTACTGGTTCAGACGGTTTTGGAGCAGAATTTTACAAATTTGTTTGGAAAGACATCGGAATATTTTTATGTGGATCAATAGATAATGCTTATAGTAATGGTCATCTTTCAGAATTTCAAAGTCAATGAGTTATCACATGTATTCCAAAGGAAGATAAAGATAGGCGATACCTGAAAAAGTGGTAACCAATATCACTCTTAAACATTGACTACAAAATAGCTTCTGCAGCAATAGCAAATCGAATCAAATTGGTACTTCCAAACATCATAAGCGAATCTCAAACGGGTTACATTAAAGGCAGGTTTATTAGGGACAATACTAGATTATTATATGATATAATGTATATACTGTATCTCCTGGACTTTGAGAAGGCTTTTGATTCTGTTTAATAGAATTTTATTGATAAAGCATTGGAATCTTTTAATTTTGGTTCGTCATTAAGAAAATGGTTCAAGATCTTTTATACCAAGTCTAAAAGCTGTATTATTAACACTGGTCATTTGTCACCCTTCTTCAATCTCGGGCGTGGCTGCCGCCAAGAAGACCCATTATCTCTGTATATTTTTATAATTGCTGTTGAAATATTAGCTCTTTCATTAAAATCTGGAGAATAATTTTTACTGGGACAATATGCTGACGATACTTATTTCCTTCTAGATGGTTCCACACATTCATTATCAACCGATGTACACATTTTAGGATATCTCGCTGTTATATCAGGGTTAAGAATTAATTTATTCGATTGGAGGCAAGAAATTTTCAGAAGAAAGAAGATGTCGAGAATTGAATTTAAAATGGTAATTTTCAGAAGAAAGAATATGTCGAGAATTGAATTTCAAATGATCAACAGGCAACTTCAAGCTACTCGGCATTACTTATTCACTTAATTTACAGGATATGGTTAGACTCAATTTTGAAAAAAAACTGCAGCAAATAAATAAAGTCCTGAGATTTTGGTCATGTCGAGACCTAACTGTTATTGGTCGAATAACTATTGTGAAGACCCTTGTTATACCAAAGTTTGTTCACGTATTTACCAATTTACCAAATCGTTCCAGTTTGTTTATTAATAAACTCAATCAGAGCTTACATAATTTTATATGGGATTATAAAAGTGAAAAGATTTAACGAGATGCATTGATTGCTAGCATAGATGAGGGTGGATTGAATATGACACATATATTTTCTTTCATTAAGTATTTAAAAATCAAATGGATAAAAAGATTATACGGAAAATTTAATGCATCAAGGAATTACTCCTTAAGGAAATATTGCCAGTTGATATTGATACTTTTTATGATATAGAGTAAAACTGAAAGGAATCAGAAGAAATATGAAAAATAAATTTTGGCAGGACATCTGTTTTACTTTATCAGAAATACATTTTGAGACCACCAATTGTCAGGAACATTTCGGCAAGATTTTTTATAAATTTGGTTTCATATAATAAAATAAGAAAAGCAATTTTGTGGAAACAGCATGGGTAGAAAATAATTGGTGATCTGTATGAAAATGGAAGGTTGAAAAACTTTATTGAATTCTCTGATATACCTTTATTTTATTTTATCGAGCATTTGACTTTAGTTCATAAGTTGGAAAGGATGTGGAGGAAAAAATTGAGACAAGCAGCAAAAATGGTAAAACTATTACACCTATTAAACAGAAGGACATCATTTCCTTAATTATAACTAAAAAATGCTTGAAGTGTGTTTATAAGATGTTCCTTGAAGAAATAGTTATTAGGCCATAAAAGTGTCAGGAAAAATGGAAGACAAATTTTGAAGAGAGCATGAAATGGAAAAGATATGTACAATGATTCTTTCAAATGTACCAGAGAAACCAATTCTCAAGCATTTCAATATAAAATATGTCATAGAATTCTTCCCACAAACTTTAATTTAGTAAAAATGAAGATAATATCTAGACAGCTTTGTACCTTTTGTGAAAGAGACCAGAAACAGTGCAACACATCTTCACGTCATTTCATAGTCCAACTTATTGCAGAATTTACTGCTTGGTATGCACTATAAAAAATAAATTAAATTTTATATCCTTTCAAGATGTAGACATTAAGTTTGGAAATCCAAAGTTTGGGCCTTGTTTAAATCACTTCATTTTATTGTTAAAACACTACATTTACTATTGTCGAATGAATGAGTGTATACCAAACTTCGATATTTGTAAAATTTTATTTAGTAAGACAATGAAAATTGAAAAGCCGCTAGTCATAGAAAATAATAAAATAATAGATTTTCAGACAAAATGGGGACGTTTCGAGGATGCATTGGACATTATAAATCTGTATTCCCTCTCCCTTTTTACAATAATTATAATCCCCTTCTTATTTACCAAGTATGTGAAAATGCAATACATCTTAGCAGGGATGACACAGTTTGGTCATGCCTTCTGACTTCAGCTCCCTGGGGTACCCATTTTACACTGAGTTTAGACCCTACCTATTTTGGTGCATCTATGTGAAAAAAGAAGGAAAGTATCCCGTGCGCAAGGAACATTTAAGACTGAAAGTGTGTGGGTAGGTGTGTGCACATGTATTTAATTGTCTGGAATATGAGAAGTGTGAATGATGTGTGTAGGTATGTGAGCCCTCCTGTGTGAGGACACATTTGTAATGTTATGTATGTCTTGTCTTGGTCAATAAAATGTTTGAAAAAAAGTGGGAAGACTGATTTCGGATAATAAGACCAAAGGTTCTGGAAGAGTAAGCATATTTTATTTCGTTGAAGCATGTTAGCACGTGAATCTAATTTAATCTCAAGTAGGTTTCAAAAATCAGATTGACATTACACTTACAACCTACACCACAAACAATAACAACATAGATTAAATCAATAGACTCTGGATTCAATGAATTGTTCGATGAAATTAGTGCAAAGTATAAACAAAAGAAAGACTTTTACGTAGGTCCCTAAAAAGCAAGACCATGTATTCCGGAAGGGTAAACGTCTTTTGCTTCATCGACGACACCGGCCATATAAACCTTGGTCAATACAAGTTAGCAGTGCCATATACACAAATAAGACCACGGATAACAGCTACTGAATCACCGTGCATACTTGTGAGCAATAAACTCATACGAATTCATTTCAGTTAGTTGATTATGATGGCCGTACTATTCCTCAGTAAACTGCATAAAAAAACTGCCAATTCATTCGACATTGAAATAATGAAAACTAATTAACTTTATTTATTTGTTTTTAATTTAGGAGCAAACGCGTTATCCATACGAGTATAATGAAGATGAGAGTTACAATGGTCAGGAGCTACGCAGGGAGTACCAGAACAGATTTCCTTTGCTAGCTGTCGTTACAGGGGGAGATTACGGCAATACTATATTTGATGACTTCTCAACTGGGCAGGTAATTTAATACAGTAAAACTTTGCTTATATAATCATCTCCAAATTAAACCCATTCCGCTATAAAGACTACATCCAAGTTAAGACCATTCCGATATAAAGACCACCTCTGAATTAAGACCATTCCGATATAAAGACCACCTCCAAATTAAGACCTTTCCGATATAGGGACCTCTTTGTCCAAGGCGAAGGTGAATCTTGATAGTGAAGTTTTACTGTATTTACTTACAGATAAAGATTCGTTATTTTTTTTTTACTGATTTTTCATGTTCAAACAAATGCCTGAAAATGTCTTAAACGAGAACATGTCACGTGGAGATGAAAAATACTAAAATTTAGGATTAATTTTAATTGTCATTAATGCGTACATTTCGTTTAAAGTAAAGGGAAAGAGAAATTACGAAAACACATAACGCAACTTGCAATTATTTACGCACAGAGAGCATAACAATTCATGTTGATTAGTTGTAATTTACGATATTTTTGCAGGTATACAGAATACACTCGTATACGCGTCAGCGGCGTGTGGTCATTCAAGAAACACAGAAGAAACATGACCACCTCAATCACACTTACCTATCTTTTCCGGTAAATACTTCATACACGTTCTGCGTGATGAAGAAAAGGAAAGAATGTAAGTTTAAAGATAAGGAACCATGACCATATATAGATATTGATACAATTTGTATGATACATGTTTATGCAAGACATGAATTATTGAATTCAGGGGCTATCGTAACTGTGCGCCTGGATTATCTGATTTTGTCATTAGTCACCCTTGTCGGTGCGGGGCAGCAGCGTGGAGTGTAGTTTGTTCAATGTCTTTCATTGAACGAAAACCCATGGGGCTGACCAGAATTTGGTGAATAATAACAATGACCTTGACCCATCAACATCGAATCATCTCAAGAGATGTTATAGACCTTTAATTTCCAGAAAATCATAGTGTTGACGTCCTTGAACCTCCAACCCTGAAATCTGTTTGTGATATCATGGTCATTTATGCGTTACGATGTTTTATGAAAATACATCATTGAACAAAGACCCTTTGAAAAGGACAAGGATATAAATAGTAACAATGACCTTGACTCGACAACTTCCGAGATGTTATATAAGCGCAAGACGTTTGATTAAACCAAAAGGATTTTCTAACAACAGAAACGATAAGCCGGCGTGATTATTCAATATGGAAACTATAATTAGAGAAATGTGATAAAAATTCGTGTAAAACTCGCAGGAGCGATGGAAAAAGCTTAACTTATCTACGAATGAAACCCTCTACCCTGTTCCCGATTACGATGATAAATGAATAATAAGCAAATATATGCGGTATTTGTGTAAACAATATATAACTTGACCACTTTGGCGTGCATCGTGGATACAGTAGACGTTCACCTATCCATGGTGTGCCTAAAACTTCAGTACGTAGACATTACACTTGACCGCATGGTCACATCAGCTAGCTACTGACTTACCTATATAAATAAACGTACCCCTACATTACTTACTTCTCCGATGAATTTCGTCTCAAGGCCGATGTAGCTTCAACCTGCCGTCTCTGACCTAGACCCTTCCAATCCTCAGAACGTCTCCATGGACATTGTACTTCCCGAGCTGTCCTAGAACACCATGTATAACAACCTCCTACCTTGACCTTGACATTTCATTCGATCAATCTTGGTATCTCTCAGTCACCACCATGGTTCCAAAAAATAGGTTATTCTCGATTGACGAATATATCATATCAAATTTTAAGTTGTTGAATAATAAAAAAATATATATGAAATTGATCTATATTCCAATATTTATCCAACTTTGATAACAAACACGTTATATTTTGTAGGGACAGAACCAATGTCAATTGGAGAAATTTTAGATAAATACAGCTGTCCTGTCATGGTTAAGTATTCACAAGAGTACAATCGTGTCAAAGTAGATTATGGCTTTAAAACCACGGCAGACATCGCCAGTCTGTTAATTGTTACGGAGTACGAGGAGAATTTCTTCACCGGAAATTGCATACGAAAAGGTAAGGAACCGGTGTCCATATGCCATTTTATCGACAGACATGTCGTTATTATACCTCACATGGTTCCAAAGTTCTGGTATACGTCTAGGGAGATAGTGTCTTTAACCTCGATCGGTTGAATGTCAGACTTCTAACCGAGAAGTTCCAGGACAGAATCCGAATCGATAATGGCCTCACTTACAGTATGTACCATTCATAATATAATATAAATTTTAATATAACACATTTTCTTGTCTTACATAATGAAATATCTTCGGTACAGGTATTTTTGATATAGTCAGTTTCGTTATATCCTTGGTACAGGTATTTTTTAAATTTCGCTATGTCTTTGGTACAGGTATTTTTGATATAATAAATTTCACTATATCCTTGGTACAGGTATTTTTTAAATTTCGCTATGTCTTTGGTACAGTTATTTTTGATATAATAAATTTCACTATATCCTTGATACAGGTATTTTTTAAATTTCGCTATGTCTTTGGTACAGTTATTTTTGATATAATAAATTTCACTATATCCTTGATACAGGTATTTTTTAAATTTCGCTATGTCTTTGGTACAGGTATTTTTGATATAATAAATTTCACTCTATCCTTGGTACAGGTATTTTTCAAATTTCGCCATGTCTTTGGTACAGGTATTTTTGATATAATAAATTTCACTATATCCTTGGTACAGGTATTTTTTAAATTTCGTTCTGTCTTTGGTACAGGTATTTTTGATATAATAAATTTCACTATATCCTTGGTACAGGTATTTTTTAAATTTCGCTATGTCTTTGGTACAGGTATTTTTGATATAATAAATTTCACTATATCCTTGGTACAGGTATTTTTTAAATTTCGCTATGTCTTTGGTACAGGTATTTTTGATATAATAAATTTTTTTGATATAATATAATAAATTTCACTATATCCTTGGTACAGGTATTTTTTAAATTTCGTTCTGTCTTTGGTACAGGTATTTTTGATATAATAAATTTCACTATATCCTTGGTACAGGTATTTTTGATATAATACATTTTGCTATATCTTTGGTACAGGTGTTATCGCTCCTGAAATCACACTGGCAGCACTTAGTCCTAGTATATCTTATGCCGAGATTACAGGAATAAAAGGGAAGTCATCCGTAACATTCCAGAATCATCTAAAGGCACTGGAGAGATTTCTCCTAGCAAATGGCGTGACATTTGATTTATTGGCTGGAAATCCAGGTAAGGCACCAAAAACCATTGTTAAGTATATATATTTAAACATCGACATTCACAGACATATGAATGTTAATACGATAAAAGTTGATGAAATGATTCGAGTTAACGCTTCATGTTGTTTTGGCTTTGTTTTGTTGATATTCATATCGCCATAAAGACAAACCCGGAGCAGTTCAATATCGCTTGTCTTTTTCAATTTTCCTTTTGTTATATGGCCAGGCTATCTAAATTTGTTTACATAAGCAGTACTTTCTCAACGTCTTTAGCAGTTCATGAGTTTGTAACACGCGGCTGACTTCGGTAGATTCCGTAGCAATACGATATAATGGTAATTATGAAGGTGTGAACTGATATATGACCATATCTAAATTTCCTAGTAATTAATACACCAGATGATCAGAAAAAATGTCGTAATTTTTGACAATGTTGCTAATATTCCAACTATCCTTAAGATACAGGAAACATATTTATTTAAGTTATTTCTGACAAATTTACTAGACGATGTATATCAATAACACCGACACCAAAAATAGTTATATGAGCTCAATCAAAGGATCCAGATAAAGATCGAAAACTTAAAAATCATTTTTTGTAAATAGGTGTAACTCGGATGACTGAAAAAGGAACAGGAAGCGGAAATCCGATACCGGAAGTATTGTCAAAATTGATACCGGAACTGAAAACAAAAAGGCCCACGACACCCCTTAACAGGCAAGTCAGCAACCCAAGTCAAACTTGCATTTATAAAAGGCCCCTGCCACCAGTTCCGGTTGTTAAACCAAAGCCGAAGGCAATAGCGGTTGTAGCTCCAATGTCATGCGCGTTACAAGAACAAACACCTGATGATTCTCGTGGTGAATATATGTATTTGGAAATGGACGGGGTAAGCAAAGAAACGACAAAAAAGTCAGAAATGGTCCGTAAAAGCCTAGAACAATGTAGTATGTCGGCAATAAAAAGACATCTATCCGATTTGCAGTTGCAGAAATATGCAAATAAATTTGAGGAACAACGCGTTGATGGTATGATTTTTGTGGATCTGACACGTGAAATCCTTGAAAAAGAGTTTCACATGTCGCAGCTTGAGATTCTTAGACTGTTGATGTTCATTAAGACAGGACATATCCCCCGATGAACAGCCTTATTTTATAGGAAACATGCGGATTTCTGGTTCCACGCAGCATGTGTTCGCAACTATATTATACTGTCGTATAGGTATATAAATTATGTAAAAGTTTGATATACAATACGCAGAAATGTCTACGGATGTTCTCTTCCCATCCTTTCCACTGACGATGGCTGCTCCATGATACAGAAATATGGTGATCTGCTCATACACAGACAGTGTTAGTTCCAAAAGGATCATCTATGAACCTGCTTGCCCACATAGGACATCCATCACATCTATCATGACAGCCAACACACCATCCGTTCACACAGGACATCTGGAGATAATGGTTGTCAACACAGATAATCATACAGCTGTCCACACATGACTTGCCCGTCTTGCCCAAAAAAGGAACTGTATAGATATATAGTTTTCTCGTCCACACAGGACTACATCTACTATACCACTGCCCTCAAGCCATCATGGGTTAGAGCTGGAACGACACAAATGTGACTATGTCTAACTCTTGTGTCCTGTTATATCATATATATATATATATCTCCATATAGCTAAATTACCCATTTACTATTCATTTTACCCAGCATTTTGCATATCATAACAAATCACTATTATTTTTACAACTAATCGACAGTGCTGGTATATATTAGCCATTTGCATAATAATAAGTACTTCTAAATACAAACATACTGCACTAATTACATAGCAAAGATTAAGCAAAACGTGTATTATATTGTCAGGTATGAATTGTACTCATCGGTACGCACTTTATATACATGTACATTAATATGCTACAAATGCAAAACACAACAAATTCCGGGCATATAACTCAACGTAGGGACTTTTGGAACAAAATGTATTATGCGCTGGTGTACCCCATTTCAACACACACACGCTCGAACAACCATTCCATCGCTCCGTTTTCTCACGTGTATCTCGATCCTTCCGCCCTACTAACGTTCACATTATGAACCCGGATCCGGTGTATCTGTATTTTTGATATTTACAATAAATTATCACAAGAATGACACTGAAATACTAAGTTAAGAAAACATCGGAATAATGAAATAAAACAGATGTACAGAGTATAAACGTTTGGGACTGTGACAGTAAGCTTGCTATTTTATGACATTTTTTATCTATTCAAATATTATTATTTTACATGAAATTGTAATGGATTTTTCTCTAAAATTGTGTGTCTCTGGTATACTGTTCTTGTCCAAAAATTGAAGTGTTTTTCGTAAGTCTTTTCCTTACCATTTGTTCCTCCAAAAATCAATGTATTTGCAAACCATATTAGATCCATCAATTTCGCCATAAAGACTTGTGCAACACACACATGATTTATATGAGTATATACATACCCGTCTGGGTACCCGACCAAGATGGATCTATAAATCATTTCCATTTCTCATCGTTTAATACTAATACACAGGTATTACGGTTTTTTTTTTATTAAGGTAGAAAGACTTATTACCATGACAGAAAGGAATTTGTTCTTTTTATCAGCTAATGTCATATTTAAATTAATTTCGCCTTTATTTTGTGAATCTACAGTGCCTTACGAAAATTGAATGTTGATTATCAACTGATGTTGATACTTTAAACTCTTTACTGTTCGTTCATATATCCGACTTTTCGAATTAAGAACTCTTCAAAGGATAAGTTCTCTGTACGGCAACGACATACTCTCTTCATTTAATCTATTATAACGATGCTGCACTCTTTCCATCATTATTGGACTTTGAATAAAAAAATGTCAAAATGTTTCTGTATTTTCTTTTTACTTTAATGGTGATAGAAAAAAACCCCACACAATTCACATTAATCATCCCTCAGTGTAAATGTACAGTGTTGATTTTAACTTAAGCAAAGGAGGGAGGTCTGTGAACGCAACGTGTGTTGTTAACAGCATACGAACAATAAGAGGCATTGCAATATAAACATTTCATTGTAGCTCATTTGCTCCGTATGAAAAGAAAGTTAACACAACCACTTATAACACCTATCAATATATCTTTTTAAAAAAAGATGTCGTGAATGAGTTACTACCAATTAGCCCCCAAGCAACAAGAAACATCCAGAAAGTACCAAAATGGGAACCTAATCATAATTCAAACTCAATATTTCATAACATTAGGGCAGAAAATGAACAAGTGTTAGCATCCTCTGCTTCATCGACGACACCCGTCATATAAACCTTGGTCAATCCAAGTAAGCAATGTCAGGTTCTCAAATGAGAACAATGTATACAACAACGGAACCAACAAGCAAATTAACGTCATCAAATACGTCCAGCTTCGTGTCGAACAAAAAATAGAATATTTTTCAATAAGATCGCTATGGTGACCATGTAACTTCCACATAATTTCCATCAAGTTACATCTTTTGAACCCTTGTGTTACAAGTTTGTCAGTCAGTTGACGAATCGTGAAAATGGGAACAGGCCCTTAAATATGGAATCAACTGTGATATGTAAATGCCATAGGGTGGAGATACAGGGATATTGATATCCAGAAATGGAAAATTCACAATAGGGGAATTGAAATCATCACGTTTATCATACAATTTAGTGGAAAGCTGTCCATGTTGTTGGTTTCGTTGTAGGAAAAGATCGAGATAAGCAGATGAAGTAGAAGAGTCTGTCGTATGTTAGATTTCACATTCTGGTAGATATATACGATGTACGTAGCAAAGAATTTAAAATTAACGACAAGACATCATCAATGTATCTGCAGCTGAAATTAAACGATTTGCAAGGTCTTTGTGACCTGTTTTGATAAGCTCTTCAATAAATTCAGCCTCGTATGAAAAGATAAACAAGTCAGCCAACAGAAGGGCGCAGTTGGTTCCTACAGGTATGCCAATAGTCTGCTGGAAGATCTTACCACCGAACTCAACGAAGATGTTGTCAACAAAAAACTCATTGTTTTGATTTCGTCCTTCGTATCTTTCTTCTTTGATTTGGACGTAATGTTTACTAAATACGCTTCAGTATAGTTCACAACCATATATTTATATCCCTGTCCACCCTTCTTGGAGAAGAAGTTCTCATAACAAGAGAACGAAGGCGTTCTTCCTTCGGTTTAGATACGGGTATGATAGTATATAGCGTGGGCAAATCAAACGGAATAGAAACAGAAGAAATGTTTTCAGAAGAGAGTGTAGAAGATTGATCAAAAGCTCTGTGGGGTTGTTCAAAATCCCCAAACTAGTAATTCCATTTCTTTGTAAACAGTATCACAATAAGACAGTAACCCAAATTTGATAGTACTTAAAATGGTGGTTAGTAGTTCAGACAAAGGCTTAGTTGAATAGTTAAAAGAGTCAGCTATAAACGTTGTTTATATGGATTCTTGTGAAGTTTAAAGGTCCAGTATAAAATTGGGTCCGTATCCTTATCATTAATGGGAAATCTGAATGATTGTAATATCAAAGCATGATTACCTAGTATTTAGTCGTGAAGGCTGACCCCGGGGCTCCAACCTTGGCAGTCTTCCAACATGTGCATGTCTGGAAAATACAAGTTGGTCTTACAAATATAAATCCCTCTTTTGAAAGACTGCAAGATGTATAGCTGATGTTTCCTTCGTTTTCAAGCAAGTCCAGTTCTTTTTGTAAACAGGAAACGTATTAATGTTTGCAGACAAGGACCAAGTTATTGGACGCCTTATCGGCAGGTTTTTTTTTTTTTTTTTACGAATGTTGGACCGAATGGACTTAGCCCACTCAGAGAGTGAATTCAACGTAGCATGTTCTCGTTTCGTCCATTCTCTGATATAGTTTTCAATACAATCCACAAGTATTTTGAAAATCACATTCCAATTCACGGACGGGGTTTCACGATATCAAGGACCCTTCATAAAATGTTCTCGTAACATACCATTTTGAATAATGCTTAAATTACCAGTTACTATGTGTTTAGTTGGACCATAGGTATAAGTAGTGGTAGAACAAGAACAAACTGACGGAGGACTAGTTCAAAGGTCATCTACGTTTAGTTGCTGGTGCGTTTGTTTGTAGTTGAAAAGATTGGATGCAATGGGCTTAGAGTAGATGTAGGAAATTGCAGAGGTATTTCTACTTTTAAAGTATAGTGGAATGGTATCCTGAACAGACTTTTGGTGTAGAATATTGCTCATGTTTACAGCATTAACTGCTTTATTTACAAACTCAACATTCATATCCTGGCGTGTTGTTAAAGGATCGCAGTCATCAGTACGGACAGGTTTGTGCCTCAACATCAATAATTTTATGACACATTCAAGCTACATGTAGTTTCCACAGGTTACTAGAAGCAGTATTAGCCGAATACACTTGAAGCTTTCGTAGCACGGAGAGAGGAAGCGAATACAACGAAGTTCGAACATGGTGGACACCTCGTGGTTTTTGTAAAGCCTCTGTCCGTGGTCACGATTACGTCCAGTTTGAGGAGAGAATAAAGCCATACCGTTAGTGCTACTGGAAAAAATCATACAATGTTCACACCAACGCTGCAGTCGTACGGCGCAGCACTGCCAAGCAGTCTAATATAATGTTCCTCGCGGTGTCTACGGTAGGATGAGCTCAGTGTGGGGGTCATTTGCACAGTGGTAATGTTTGTTCCAAAATACGGACATTTATAGACCGAATAGAATGGTCCGGGGATGATAAAATGTTGATACAGACATTGATTCTCTCCACGGTTCACTGCTGACCATTCGCCTCACCAACATATATCAATCCACAGAGAGCACACTCAATAACATAAACAATGTTGGTAGTTTTATAATTTAGGGGCTTAAAGATCAGGCGATCATCAGTTCTCAATCAACAAGTGACGTAATTAACTTTTCATTAATGGGTATTGATATGATATGTAAAGATTGTACAAATGACACCAGGGAATTTCATCTTTTAACACAAATTCAGATAAAATACAACAGAGCCAAACAATGAATCAAACTACATCATACAGCTGTTTCGTCCTTCTAGGACTTGTCAGTGATGCTACATCGTACAGCTGTTTCGTCCTTCTAGTACTAGTCAGTGTTGTTACATCATACAGCAGTTGTTCAGTGATGCTACATCATACACACTCGTCAGTGATGCTACATCATACAACTGTTTCGTCCTTCTAGTACTAGTCAGTGTTGTTACATCATACAGCTGTTTCGTCCTTCTAGGACTCGTCAGTCATGCTACATCATACAGCTGTTTCGTCCTTCTAGGACTTGTCAGTGATGCTACATCGTACAGCTGTTTCCTCCTTCTAGGACTCGTCAGTGATGCTACATCGTACAGCTGTTTCGTCCTTCTAGGACTTGTCAGTGATGCTACATCGTACAGCTGTTTCGTCCTTCTAGGACTCGTCAGTGATGCTACATCGTACAGCTGTTTCGTCCTTCTAGGACTCGTCAGTGATGCTACATCATACAGCTGTTTCGCCCTTCTAGTAATCGTCAGTGATGCTACATCATACAACTGTTTCATCCTTCTAGTACTCGTCAGTGTTGTTACATCATGCAGATGTTTCGTCCTTCTAGAAATCGACAGTGATGCGATATCAAACAACTGTTCGTCCTCCTAGGACTCGTCAGTGATGCTACATCTAGCTGTTTTTTTCGTCGTTTTAGGACTCGACAGTGATGCTACATCATACAGCTGTTTCGCCCCTCTAGGACTCGTCAGTGATGTTACATCATGCAGCTGTTTTGTACTTCCTGCACTCGTCAGTGATGCTAAAGGCCTAACGTTTGAACCCTATGAGGTGACTTTGGAAAAGACAAAATGTTCGAAAGGAAAGACAAACAGATGTGGGAGTTGACTAGTCTGACAATCCAATAAATTGTGTAATAGAACGTAAAATAAATGGGGATATTCTGAACCGTGAAATGTATAAAGGTTTATTTTTAGTTTTTCATTTGAAAACTTTCCAAAATTGTATTTCGTACAGGAAAAATAAGACATCTAATAGTTGATTGAATATAAGATAAAATGAAATACGTAAATTTGGAGAAAATGAAAAACTACGAAAAGGTGTGATATAAATGATAGAGTAACTTACCTAAACAAAAGGATGAGATGAAAATATCGCAAGCTTACCATTGGGTAACAAGAATTATTATTATAGTCTGAACGGCCCGCCAACACATAAAGGTCATTAAGGTCATCAATCGATAAAACTCATAGCGATCCGAAAGGAAACAACATCAAACAAACTAAAAGATAAAGGACAGATGCTAAAAATCTTAAATGGTTATATAATCACAAAAGATTAAAATGGTGAGTCACGGGGAATAAGAAACCTTAGTAAATTTGATGTAAATAAATACGTATTAAAACCTTCAGTCCGAGACAAGATACACGAATGTTGCATAAATAAAGAAGGAATGATATTTAAAGTGTTGATATGTCTACATAAAATAAGCATGGTTGAAAACCGTATTATAGATTGTAAATTTCATGTAAAGCTTCCTGGCTGGTTGCCACTGTATTTGTGTCCTTCACTACAACTTTGCTTGGTCGTTGTGTCGGGTAGTCAGCATTCATGGCTGAGGGGTTGTGAATACCTTGTCTGCCGTCTGCTGTGCATGACACATATACATATGTGTGCATTTGGACCTTTCTCTCAACGCGTTTATAAATTGTAATTGTGTTTGTGTGGAAGGGTGGGGTAAGGACGGAGTTATGTCAGATAAAAGTGACATCCCTCTGTTGTATAGGATGAACTTAATTTTGATTAGAATTAGGTTTGTGTTGCGATTATTGAAAAAGCATGGATTGTTTATTTAGAAAAACACACACATGCACCACACCCTAACCCGCACACACAATCCTGCACACACACAACCACCACATCCTTTTCACCAACCCCGCCCCCCTCCAACACGCATCTTAACATACCCAACAGCGTAAGAGAACAATAACACATGTATATTGCGGAGTAGTAACTGTTGAGGTATGAAGTGTACACTTACAATGTACAGACTAACAAATCATGCAAACACTTCATAAACCACAGACAAAATGTTTCTACTTCACTTTTATTAATTCCTGCAAAAATGTCGATGTTAAGATGGACGGAAAAAAAGAAACAAAGATTAGGATGGCAATTAAAACTAACTGGTAATTACAAAGTCCTCATATATAAGTGACAATATTCATACAAAAGCCGTGTTTTATAATACAATTCTTAATATCACTTTACTGCATAAGGAGCATGAAAAAATTCAAAGAAATACTTGGCTCACAATAATATTCAAAATAGAGTGAAAAATCAACAGCTCTGATAAATTGCCCCTTTTCCAATAAATGCTAATCTAATGATATTTTAGTCATATAAAAACTAAGTCATATTATGCCAGTGTATAAAGGACTATTCAGATACGTGCTGCAAAAGTTTCTGAGAGTTATATAATGTTCTTGAAATTATTAAAGTCAATATTGTTCAAATTCATAAATTCCCTCAAAATAATGAAAATCAGATTCCAGTAGAATATTAGATACATGCTACCATTATCTTTATCTGAAATTCAAAAAATCAAAAATCCAAGTCTGTTAGTATATTGATCATGAAATTCATAGTTTGAGTTGAAGAAGGTTTGTTAATAAGAACAAGCTCTCTTAAAAAGAAAAAAAAACCAGCTAAATTGAAAAAAAATGATCAAAGCAAAATTTAAATATGCAAAATAAAAAAATCTGAGAAATAGAGAATAATTATTGACATGATAGTCATAGAACCAGGAGGTAAGCCTAAAGTCTGGACATTGCTTTCTGTAAGTTTATAAGTATTACGACTGAGGTTGTTTCATCAAAATCACCGACTTATAACTAAAAAACAACTTCAATAAAAATACAGCACTATAAAAATTCAAAGTCACACAGCATTATAAGATAAACATTTAATTACATTAAATAGATTTTATGAAATGTATTAGCTTTGATACAATGTATATGATGAAACATTCATACAATAACCCAGTAACATCCAAATGGCTTTTGAATGAAAAAAAAAAAGTGATTTAGATAAAGAAAAAAATAATGCTTATCACAATTTAATATCTAGTTTGTAAAATATTTAAATAAAATATCCAGCACTTGCCTTTCAACCCCAAAAACTCATTAAACATAACAAACATGAATATTAGAAAGTTTTTAAAATACTATTAATAATGTATAAATAATATATATTACAAAAGGAAAAAACTTCAGACTGATAAAATCAAGCTTTGATACGTCTTCACAAATTTACTTTTCAATGAATTAAAAGCAGCCGCTTTTGAATATTAATGAATTCAATTGTGACACATGATGAATTGCCTTGATCAGACTTAACGAAACAACATTTCTTTTCAGTAGTTTTAGCTCCGAAAACAAGAAGGCGGATCTTTAACATATGTGTTGAAATCAAGGCAATACCGTTGACATGTTGTAACAATCAACACTGACTATGTTCTATATAGCCAAAAAAACCGAACTTGAAACAGCAAAATTACAATATGTAGAATATTTATAATTAATCTGGAAATATAAGTAGATATGATGGAAACGCTATCAATATGCAGAGAAGCAAAAGTCTACAATTAAAGAGACAAAAATCCTAACTACATCTACAGGACATAACATATAAATCACAAGCATTCTAAAGGCAATACTGGCAAAAATATATCTATTCATTATTTGCGTTGACTTGACTTGAGGTATCTATACAGTTTTTAAGACTTCCCTGTCATTCAGTAGTCTCCTTCACAACAGGGACTTACAGCCATTTACAATCAGAAAATTTCAAAATCTTTCATAAACAATAAAAATCAAGACATTTTGTATTTTAGTGATATCGTTTAAATCCGAGTCTCAGCAGATGCGTTACCAACTACAGAATGATTAACAATGATTTGATACTCAATCATCACTTATTCATTCGTAAATTTCCCTAAAAAAGTTGTGATCAAATTGTTTTAAAACAAAATCTGGCTAATTCAAATTTTATCATTTCTAAATTCTGAATATGTAAATTACCGTATACACAAATGATATTACTTCTAAACTACACTCTTGAAAAATAAATAAAGATAATTCTTGTAAAAATTGTTCAATATTTCAAACCTTAAAAAAATTTACTCATTTTTTTCATGATTTAGGTAGTTTAGATTAGATCCATGTGCAGGCATTATATAAGAAAAAAAATCTATCATTTTTCAAACAGACGTACAATATACCTTTGAAACTGACAGAATACATTTCAGAACAAATTGAATTATAAACAGAGGGAATCATTTTCTAAATTTAGATCTAATACTGCAATTCAATCCTGAAAGACTTTTAAAGATTTTTATAAGATTACAACAATCTTCTATTAATTGTTTCTAAGCATAAAGGAATCAATTATTTCAATAGTGTCATCAAGTGTACTACCTGAAATTTTGACATAAGCTTGAGATTACATCATAAAAATCACAGGATTTCCTGCTGAGTAATTTCAATATAAAAATTTCCCTGTAGTTTGTATGGCTGTGTAGACATGTTTCAACTTCCTGGTCTGTTCATAAAATCAGGTAACATATTTAAAATATCACAGCAGTTAGGTGTATATGGAATACAATACGCCCAAATAAACAAAATGCAAGATTGTCATGTAAATTTAAATCTATGTAAACAGCAAATAAATTCTTTCCCTCATCATTTTGTGACAAATCTTGCCTGTACAAATGCTTGCTATAGCTGTCACAGAATACATATTTTCCTTGTCAAGCTTGGCATTTGGAAATAAGTAAATCCTCAGTTCTTATGACATGCCATTTCAATCATTTTAGATCTATCCTAGTATTTTTGTTGTTGATATATTTAAATCTATCTATTCGTCAAAAACTTATAACCAATACATTCTGAACAGAGACAAGAATATACAAAAAAAACGGCTAGTCTTGACTTGCTAAATGAAGAACACTGTACTTCAACATTATTTCAAATCAGTGAAATTTTGAAAAGATTCAAAATTCAAACGGTATTGTCACTGATATTTTAATGGGGTTGACATCTAAATTATGATGTATTTCCACATCAATGATTATTGTTTTTTATATTCTGTTAGGAAAAATGGTGTGTTTGACAAAATCTTATCTTTAATAATGTCTATGTCTATATATGTAGATTGTTTTGGGTATCATTTTGTCTTTTAACATAAAGAATGACAAATCATTGTTAAAAATACCTTCAGGCACTGATGATCTGGTTTAATGGTCATGTTTCTGAGGCTTAAACAAGAAACTATATCAAAAGAAATCAACAGTATTTTTATAGAGAAACATTTTTTTTTGTTTTATATCTTAAGAGGACCATTTCATCTTTTTAATCACACCATTTTATACATAAATAAAATAATGATCTTTAATCCTCAATTTCAAATGAAGCCAAAATATCAATTTTGCATGTAGAATAGGTTTGTATTTTAAAAATGTAAATGTCTTACACTCTATACCTAAAGATCTGTAACCTCGTCGTCAGACTGTGGTTGGTACCCTGCATTTTCATTGGCTGTCCTCTTTGACTTCCTGTGCTTTCTCTTTGCCTTCCTTTTCTTCTTCTTCTCATCTACCTCATCCTCCTTTCTTGCCTCTGAAGTCTTCAGAGGAGGTAGTGCATGACTTTTTTCTGCTTGACGTCGAGCAGCTGATTCCTCGATGTCACCATTTGACTTTGGGTCATCCATCTTGATTGCCGAATCAGTATCACTAACGATTCCCTTGGCTTTTGAGGAAGGAAGCTTGCTGGCACCTGCCTCTTTTTCACCTCCATAAATTGATTTCCTGAAAATGGTTGAATGAAAATGAATTGTTTTTTCTACAATTAAACAAATGCTCCCTTTAGATTTAAAACAAAATATTTCAATATCAGCAAAGAAAAATGAAATTGTTGTTATACCTAAGGTACAACAGTGTATATCCTATCATAAGAGGTAATTCAAACCATCCAAACATTACATGATACCTGTATACTGATGTATGGTTTTGATGCTTTGTGATTTAATGACTGGATATTTTGATACAGAATCACACAAAAAGAAAACAATTCTTAACTCAGGCAAAATCTGGGCCTTGTTCTCATCATTCTTGGTATGCACATAATTGCCTAGCCAAGAAAATCTACAAAACAACATACCCCAAAATGGAGGATTATATTGGCAGTTATCAACATCAGCAATATGTTAACCAACAGCATCAATAAACAGTGAGTCAAAAGAGAGAGTATTCAAGCACTCAACAGTGACTAAGTGAGTCTAAAGAGAGAGTATTTCAGCACTAACCAGTGTCACATTGAGTTTAAAGAGAAAGAGAGTATTCCAGCACTCACCAGTGACTCAATGAGTTTAAAGAGAGCGAGTATTCCAGCATTCACCAGTGACTCAGTGAACCTAAAGAGAAAGTATTTCAGCACTGAGCAGTGACTCATTGAGTTTAAAGAGAGATAGTATTCCAGCACTCACCAGTGACTCATTGAGTTTAAAGAGAGAGAGTATTCCAGCACTCACCAGTGTCTCATTGAGTTTAAAGAGAGAGAGCATTCCAGCACTGACCAGTGACTCATTGAGTCTATAAAGATGAAAATATTCAAGCACTGACAAGTGACTCAATGTTTCTATAGACGAGAATTTTTCAGCACTGACCAGTGACTCTGTGAGTCTATACATGAGAATATTTCAGCAGGACCAGTGAATCAGTGAGTCTATACATGAGAATATTTAAGCACTGACCAGTGACTCAGCGAGTATATACATGAAAATATTTAAGCACTGACCAGTGACTCAGTGAGTCTATACATGAGAATATTCCAGCACTGACCAGTGACTCGTTGAGTGTAAAGATGAGAATATTCCAGCACTGACCAGTATCAGCTACGTCTAACAAGCAACAGCTAGTTCATCCTCAACAAACATATTTTTGGTCAAAACAAAATTGTTTAATACTATTATTCCACAGGAAAGTTATTTCAATTTTTTTGTTGTAAAATGTGTCTGATAATATAATGTTGCTTTAAATAAATGGATGAATCAAATCAGTATTGTTTTATCAGATATGTATACAGAAAATAATAAATTATTAATTTACCGCATACTCACATAATTTTGTAATACAACATGTTTCCATGACAGCACTTTTGCAACTTATATGATTAGAATAAAAATTTCATAATTTATAATTTGGTTGAATAAATCCATTTTACTTGCTTGAAGAAAAATTTTGTGACCATAAATGTGAGGAGTCCTGTTAGACATAAGAAATTGTCCTTTGATAAGAAAGCATTTCCAAATCCAGATGTATCTGTTTTATCATACAAAAGAGATGGTGACAAGAGGAACACAACCCCTTAAGTAATGCAACAGAAACATCAGCTATGAATTACTAATGGTGCCCTCTAACAGGTAAAATAGGTAGGAGAAAATAAATATGCCACATACATAATCAGTTACCATATCTTACAAAACTGTAAAAAATAACATTATACATCAAAAAGAACATTGGATTATCATCAAAACTGGAACCATTTAGTGAATCTGTTTTTACAGTCTATTTAATTAGTGGCATACTTACAGACTATCAGTCTATAGTCACATGATTTATAAATGCCAAGAATAGATTGTAGAAATTTTGAAATTTATAAAACTGAATGAAAAAAAATCATTTGATTAAAATGATAAAAAAATCATTAATACAAATATATCAATATTTTAAGAAAACTTGATTTATTAAAAGTTTTTAAATTAAGATTTAAAAAGAATTATTTGGCATCTCTATAAATACATGGACTAAAAGTATCTTAAAGAAGTTTTCTGGTTATAACAAAGCATTGACTCAAGACTACGAAGAATCAATTCTTGTATATCATTACCGTTCTTTTCTTTTATGACTGTGCCTTCGAGCACGTGACTTTCTGTAATGTAATTTATATGAAATCAATTCTAACTAAGCTATAGGAAAATAAAAACCCTTGTTTATTTTCATGTGTAATATCTCTGGCATTGATTTCGACAACACAGCAGTTATATATGAATCACATAATGATCCAAGGGAGACAATCACATTTTTAGTCATATAGTGATACAGATTGGGTTCCGTTGGAGGTTTACGGTGACATTAGAAACAATTAAAGATCATATAAAATGTGAAGGTATTAGCAATGAAACAAATTAATGTGGAAATAAAGCCTGCTTAAAACCAGCTGCATAAGAAATATATCAAAATGATCATTATTTGTCAATTTTGAAAACAATGATTATTCATTTTCAATACATTAAAAAGAAAATGTTCCTTAACATTATCATCTATTGAATTATATCAGTCAATGGGTCCATGTTGAATGTTCTATGGGAGACTATCAGTGAAAGTCAGGTGTGAGAAGATGTACTCTTTAATGGATAATGTTAATTACCCGGTATGATATCTAATATGTTAACATATTTTAATATACTATTTTCGAAATAATATTGGTTTGATAACTGATAAATATATTAAATTGGTTCAATTACTTACATTATCAAGACAGAATTTAAAGTTATGTCAGTTACTTGAAATACTGTATGAAAGGGACATATGTTCTAAAATCATGTCATTAATTGTTAAATGAATGTCATCATCGTTTGGACAGCTGTAAGTGATTGAAATTAAATATAAATGCAAAAATGTTTGAACTGATGGCAATTGTGACAAAAGATACAAAGTAAAAAATCTTTATATAAGGAAAACATCATTGAATAAAAATATTCAAATGTGGCTTAAATTTGATAATAACAAAATGCAGCATTGATAATGTGGTATATATACCTTTCGTCCTGCCTACTCCTATATGCAGCATTTAGACATTTCTGACAGCTAAGAATGAAAGCAATAATTCAAATTATATGGTTTTTTTTTTTTGTTGAAAATTTTGTATCAAATTGTGTAAAAAAAGACAAAATGAATCCCTATTCTATTGCCCTTTTCCTTTGACCAACATTTATATATATATACTTATATATAGGTAGGGTATGTAAAGTATGCAGCAGATTTTAATGTCACAAACAAACAATTGGATTGGATAAAAATACAGGACGTTACCATGGAAACATGTGATATCTTACCTAGCAGGGGTTACAGTTCTTGATTTTCTAAAACAAGTAATACATAAGTTTTTTTACTGGTATATACTTCTTTTTGATTTGATTCATCGGTATTGAACGTTTCAATACCATGTTGTAAGTAACAGGATTATTATGTATACTCGTAACGGATTTAGTTTCTGTACTTACAGTATATGATTAAATTGAAAAAAGAAAAAAATCAGCAAAGAAATTTAGCAAAGACAGAATTCTGTGTAGCACCATGTCTTCATTCAAAACATGTTGATTGATTCCTTTCTTGCTTAGAAATCACATAAAAAGAGAAAATTTACTGTGGCTTATATTCGAGTGCAGTTTATAGCCCAGATAATACAGTAATCTGACAAGATATTTCTGTCGTTTTGATCTACATGTACATTCATACTTGTCAATTCTGGGTTTTTCTTTTTTGCTGTAACTTTTCACAAGGTTATAGGCACCATCATACTTGTACTTTTAGCAGCATGAGGAGTCAGAATTAGCTGCTTAGTAAAACAGATCTTGACTTTTGAAATTTTGAACTCCTGAAAATCTTAAATGAACCTTAAAGAGAACACATAGTGCGATGATGTGCCTGGACATCTACATAGTGCTTTTCACTGCAGAACACATCCAGGATACTCACATTTTAATATGCTCTACAAAAGATGTTTCTTTTTTACTTTGAAATGACTTGAGTTGTGTCATTATCTGAATAACCATCTATAGTGTATCTTTTACAATAAAGATAAGTGAATCATAGGACCTTTAAATAACACAACTTTAAATTTTAATCCAATAGATCCAAACAATGAATTGAACTGCATCATACAGCTGTTTTGTCTTCTAGTATTCACCAGTGATGCTAGGGGCCTAAAATTTGAAGCCAAAGCAGTCAAAAAAACAAATGTCAAAATCTAGATGGGGAGGTGTGCTAGCCTCAAAATTTAATAAATTTGTTTTCATTCAACAAGCCTCCAGAAAGAATTTGTAAAAATGTAAATTGTAATGGGTGTCACTAATTCCATGTAAGATAGAAACAAATATAAGATTCTATTTATCACATTATCAATTATCTGGTATGGTTAAACTTGATTTATATATTCAGCAATAGATGAATATTGCCTGTCATGTGTAATTAGTGTAATTTTTATGATTGTTAGGACCAGATGATGAGCTAGAGTATAGTACCGCTCAATGTTCCTAAGTGATATATCTATCAAGTTTTGAAAACATCAAGAACTGAAAAAAAAAAAGAATATTAAATGACACTGATATCTACTGTTATTAATGTCAGACTACAATGTGAAAATACTGTTGATGTTAAATCCAAACAAACAGTCAATTATCAGAATGACTTACAATTTGTCGGGTACAGGGATAGGTCCAGTCTCTTTTTCTATTTTATACCCTTCCCCAGATCCCTCTCCTGCCTTCCCTTCCTCCTCTTCACCCTTCTTCTTGTTCTTTTTTGCTTTCTTATCCTCTATCTTCTTCATCAACTTTTCATTGTGTTCACGCCTCTTGCTGTAAAACAGTTTTAGATTTTAAGAGATATGTGTAGAAAAGACTAAATTTTTTACCTTTAGACAGTTAGAGTTTGATAGCTGATTGTTTTCACTAAATATTCTGTTGACAATAAAACAAAGAAAGTGTACATGTTTATTCTGAGAATAGTTTTAATCAACACCATGTTGTAAATCTTTACCAAATTTTCCATCCTGGCCTGTCTGACATCTCCAGTTCAGTATTATTAACAAAAATCCTTAAAGTTTCGTTGATTAATTGAAGGTTTGGGTTTGTAAAATTTTAATCAATTTTGCAACAGCTGATTGCTACATTACAAATAAATATTTCTGAAGCATTAATCAATTCATCAGGTTGTAGATAGTGTTTGATTGCAATATTAGAGATGTTATTAATAGTACTGAATATGAGAGACTTCATGGCTCCCTTTAGACAAAGTCTGATTTGGACAGTCTGGTATGGTTTGTACAGACCCTAACAGAACAAGACTAAGAATTTAATGTAAAATTCTTATTATTTTGTGGATTTTTTTTTAAATGATATGATTGATAGTTTTAAGAGCTAATTTCATAAGCCCACAAAAAAGATTATGCTGGGTAATTGTTAAGGTTTTAAAATGAATGCTCAGTAAAGCAAACTTCAGTATAGCAAACTCAGTGACTACTGCTAATAAACAAACTAGTTTAAAAGCATAAATAAAAAGTAATTATTTGAAAAACCATGAAATTTGTTAACAACAAAAATTTGTAAATTCACAGTTACTATGTGTAATTAAGGTTTCAGAGTCGAGAAACTATTAACATATCCAAACAAAATACTTACTTCCAAAAATGGAGGAAAAGTGCGATGATAATGACGATGATGAGGACAAGAAAGGCAATAATGGTGAGGATTATGTTTTCGGTACGGGTCGTAGGAACGCCAAAGTAGGTCTCGTCTGCCCATGTTATGTAGTAACCGATAGAGTTGAAGACATCTATCCTCACATTCTCAACAATTCCTGAAATTTACATGTATATTATTTATCATTTTGAAAATCAATTGCATAATAAGCCCATGCCTGATAACATGCCCTCACCTTTCCAATATGTACAGAAGAAATGTCAACAGATACGAAAAAACATTGTCTTGTAATAAGCCCACCCCCTACTTTTAGTATTTGTCATTTTGGTTTATTGTATTATAGCATTAATTAATAAGCTTTATAAAGAGTTAGACATAATTTTCAATGTAATCAAATTGTAAATTAATTTTAGAAAAAAAAACCATATTGATATACATACATGAAGTTACTAAAAACACACTTGAATTAATTTAGAATTATTTTGACTAAAGGAACAAATTCTTTACAAGAACAAAATTATTTGCTTTGGCCTCCATATCTAATAACATCTGATTGGTAAAGAATTAATTTCATGAATCTCAACAGGCGCTAACATCAGAAGTTGACAATTTATACCTACTGATGACAACAGCTGATGTAAGGACGTAAGTTTCATTGACAACTAGCGATGATCCATCTGGAATGGTGATGTGGAAGCTGAAGAGCATGTTCTTCTCCTCATTTACTGCAGCATTCGCATCTTTGCCAATATTTATTTCTTTGAATCTATTAATAAAAACAGAACATGAAGCACTTTGTGTTGTGTCATTTTCTCTTTATAGAAGGAAAAATTAATGTTATGTACCAAATTTTTGCACACTGCTGAATACTCCAGAAACAAAATTGAAAGGAGGTGCAATATGTCCTTTTTCTACTACAGGGGTTGGTTAAGTCATCGGTCAAATGGCCCTAGTCAAATAACCTTATGTCAATATAGTTTACTGGAAAATCAAACCAGTTTTACATCTCATTGATCTGCAGCTTTTTTTGCCCATTCATTGATCTGCAGCCTTACTGCTTTAGTTTGACACCCACAAGTCACCCTGGGTTACACTCTGATTTGACAAACTTTGAACCTGTATAATTCTTAAATCCACCTAACTGAATGCAATGATATCAAATCACATATTTTGTCAACCTTAGCATTCATGTAATACTAGCAGTTGATTTTGATAATAAGATTTCATTATTTCCAATCACTCTATGATTTTTCCAACTATTTAGATAGATGAATTCTTTCTCACAAGTTTTGTTCAGATTATTGTTGCTTTACATCCTTTTAATAGCCATGGATGTGCTTAATTTGGTTGCTGGAGTTCCCAGAGAAAAACCGCTGACCCGCAGCCAGTACCGGGCTTCTGCCCATATGTAGGTCTTGAACATGTGAATTGAGTTAGAAACTGGGGGCTACCCTAAAGGGTTCCTTGTGAATTATACACTGAAATTTTCTTTCCCACAGTCACACAAAATCTGGCTGTATCAACTTACGCAGTGCCATCACAACAAGTGACAAAGCCACAGATATTTGGGTTGGCGCTGCAGTAATTGTTGGCTCCGCTTGCAAGGATAGCTGCTACTTTTGTCTGCATGCCGTGTGTTTCCCACTACAAATATTAAATTATAAACTCCACAAAATACCATAAATGTACCACTGTCTGACTGTGTAGCTTCATTACTATACATGTGTATAATTCTTTTTAGCAGAAAAGTAATCTGCAACAAGCTATGACATTCATTGTTTACATGAATGACACTCCTCTGCAATCAAATATAAATCTTAATACACACAATATTGTATGTCATTCATATTGAGTATGTTATGCCATATTAATATCATGAAGATGAATTTTTTTTATTAAAAAAAAAATTGTTAATGGTATCGTTATTTGATCATACTTTTTTCTTTTCTGGTGATTAATGCCTTACTTTGATTATAGTAGCTCATACAAAATTTATTCTTAAGATAATAGATAATAGATAATACATGTTTATCTTTATTTTGCTTTAAATACTTAATTAAATAGTAAACAACTATAACCATACATACATCAGCAACTTGTAGACGGTAAAATTCAAGCTCAACAGTGTGAGTACTGATGTCACCTGTGAAAGATAAGTAGTCGAAGATGACTTAGATAATGCTGTGAAAAAAAATGTATTTTCCTTTACAATTGTATGCAGAAAACATTTTCATTTTATGATAAAATCTTATTTTTGACAATATATTAAAGATGTTCACATATCTCATGAAGTGTTCTTATTCAAGGTTTAGGTTTAGACTTTTACAGTAGGCTGACAGATGTGACCTGGAGACATACCATGGACACAGGTATGTACATGGTAATAAATGTACAGGAGTATTGCATGTGGATGGTATCCATCCAAGAAGAATGCATATAAAAACTAAAAGGAACATTTCATGTTTTATGGAAATATATTCATAAATGTTATCAAGGATAAGTACACATCAATTATCTGAATATTTACTGAAAAAATGATCAATTACCGCGGTACATCTCGTGAATAATTTGGTAAATAATACAAAATGTAAAAAAATACTTTATGTTAAAATCATTTTATACAAAAATGGAAGAAGAATGCTGACAATGAATTCAGCAATTAAATTCTAAATATTAAATAGCTTCACGAAAATTCTGAATTTACAAAATCTAAAAAGATCAGAGAAGCAAAATACAATATACATTTTACTGTATGCATAAACAATTATCACGTAATTCAAAGAGGTTTTCCTGTCACAATATACTTGTAAAATTGATAACAATGGAAGAAAATAAACCCAATACATTGCACATTAATCAATTCAAAGTAGTTAATGTACTTACTGGCCAAGTCACCCAGACAAAGAGTAATCATCACTGAAATAGTCGCAAAAATGAGTTTTGTGTCCATGATGTTTCAAAAGACGCGAAACTTCCTGTAAAATGTTCAATAACTGACTTGTTCGTCAAACCTAGCTTAAAAACATATGCGTCTTCCTCTTTCAGTTGATAAATTTAACAACACATACGCCTTGGCATTTTAACTAAGCCCTCCGTACATTCAAACTAATGTATCCAACTTCTAAATATTTTCTTCTTGGCAGCGGCCATCAATAAACAACTTGGTTGCTGTGTGTTATCCATATATCGGAAGGTTTCTAGATCTTACACTATCTTAACACTGCTGCATGTGCGCGTTCCGAAAGGGAAGTCATACATTGATTCGGTGAATTTGATTAGTCGCCGTGAATTCAATTAGCCAATCAACGTCATCGTGTGATAAAAAGTTCGGTATCGAATCATAATGGCTGGAAGGTTGATGAAAAATCGTCTGTTTCAGATTACGAAGGTTATTTCTTATGTTTGTGTCCACGTCATTAAATATCATTGACTTATGTGATTATTTATCAGATAATTGAATCACGGATATATACCTTTATTAAGCTGATTAATTGAAAACGTGACGTTACTGATTGGCACTACCGAACATGTGGATACGCAAGTGCTAATTCGAGAATAGCTGGATAGGTATCCACGAAATTAGTTATAGATACATTCTTTTTGATGCGATATATATTTCTCAGTTTACAGTCAGAATTTCAAACTTCCGTGGTATGCGCTTATAATAAATGTATTTGTATTGTGGTCCATGTCTATAATCATATTGTAACCCTTGTAAATACCATCCACAATCCTATCGGAGACATTAAGATAATGACGTCTGTTACATTGGCGCCATGTAGGGACTCCGGAATAATGCTTAGCCATGTCTCACCAGCATAGCTGGAACTTAAAAAAAACTCCAGGACGAGTAGAAGGTAGAGTATGTAACCCTGGTAAATACTAGCTGCGATGTACTGTTCGGCTAGAGAAATTCTCCTTCGCACGATTGGTTGAGCGTCAGATTAGTAAGCCAGGGGTCCTAGGTTCGAATCCTTGCGAAGACATTGAAATAAATGACGAACTCTGTTACAATATACATTACACATATATTCTCTGTACATGTCTTTGAAATGAATACTTTCTGAAAACAATTTGATTAAAATTTCTAAAGGCAAATGCCAAACTGAAAATGGTCCATGGTTTATGAGGTACACGTGGAGATTAAGTTGTTTTTGCATGTATGTTGTGATTGACGTAGAGATTTGGCTGTGATTATATTACATATATCTACAGTTGTTGTTGAGGATCATAAATTGAAAAATTTAAATGATTAAAAAAAAGTATTTTGTATTTCATCTTTTAGATTGTGAGGCAATTTTCCACACAAAGATCAAGATTATGGCGACCAGACAGTGGATACACCATCACAACTGAAGAAAATGGCATAAGAACCATTTGTCTGAATGATCCAAAGAAGAGGTATTTATGACATACAACGGTGTATATAAACAGTTTGAAAAGTTCTGACAACAACACATATATATAATTGCTTATTAAAACAAAAAGTTTAAAAGAAAAGAATTTTTGGGATTTGGAATAAAATTTTAGAAAGGCCATTGCTGTAATTATATGTACATATCATAAGTAAAAAATTCAGTCACATGATCAGGATAATAAAATCAACATCTACAGCTTCTAGCTTAGCTGATATCTCATACATGCAATTTTCACATTGGTTATTTGTCCCTTTAAGAGATTGGGCAAAATCAAGTTTGGTTAGATATAAAATTTTTTATTGCCCAAGCCCATGCTATGGTTTATTTATTGATTGTCTTTCTGGTTTGATAGCTAATAAAGAAATTTTGATATACCGGGTGTGAAAAATTTGAAGTTATTTTACAGAAATGCTTTATCTTTGAAAATGCTGGAGACTTTGAAGTCTGATCTCGCAAATCAGACAGACAGCCTGCGAGTCATTATTCTTACTGCAAAAGGACCAGTATTTTCAGCAGGTCATGACCTGAAGGAATTGGTAAGTTTTTGTATAGGTAATCGCAAAATACTTATAATTTTATACTTTTCATTTCTAGTTAGAGAGGTAAATTGTCCTACAATACAAATGGCAGGAAATTGATCAAGTATGGTAGATCAGTTTCTTTCCATGTTGCAAAATTCTATTGCATTATTAACTCACTGTCATCAACTAGTGATAAAATTCTGTGTTGTTCAGATCACCCACAGTAATCTGTAGTCAGTAGTCTTTCTGTTCCCAAACAGTGATTGTTGTTGCCATTCTGGAAAATTCTGACATAGGTATTGTCAATTATAAGGACTGATAGAAAAACATACTGTAAACTTATATATATTTTTGTGGGGCTTAATTTTGTTTTTCCCTCTTTTTTAGCTTATCAACATCAGATAGTGGGCTATTAAAATCGCTCTGCGTCGTCCGTCCATCAATCATCTGTCCGTCCGTAAACAGTTTTTGTTAGCGCTATTTCTTGAGAAGTACTCTTTGGGACTGATAAAAAAAAACGAGACAGCCGACAGGCAGCCATCTTGGATTTTTTCAATGAAGATTGTTATCGCTATTTCTTGAAAAGCAAGAAATGGATCTTTCTTAAATTTCATATGTAGGTTCCCCTTGGTGTCTTGTTGTGCCCATGTAATTTTGGGACTGATCAGAGAAATAAACTGGCCGAAAGGTGGCCATCTTGGATTTTGACTTTGAAAGTTTGTTATTGCTATTTCTTGAGAAATACTGTATAGATCTTTCTCAAATTTCGTATGTAAGTTCCTCTTTGTCTCTAGTTGTGTCCATTTAATTTTGGGACTGATCAGGAAAAAAAATGGTTGTCAGGTAGCCATCTTGAATTTTGCTTAATAAAGATTGTTATTTTTATTTCTTAACAAGTACTGAATGGATGTTTCTAAAATTTTATATGCATGCTTCCTTTGGTCTCTCATTGTGCTTATTTGATTTTGGGTCTGATCAGAAGACAAAAAAATAGCTTCCAGACGGCCATTTTGGATTGGCACTTAAAGATTAGGTATCATTGCTACAGGAATGTGCAAATGTGTTATCATTAAAAGCAAAAACAGAGAAGAAAAAAAAAGGGAAAATGTCAAACTTTTAAAGAGCATTTAAAGATCAAACAATGGTGGGTGCCTAGATCCCTCTGGGATCTCTTGTTAGGTCACCAGAGACAAAATCTCATGGTGACTTATTCTAATACCTTTCATCCAGCGTCATGCGTAGTGTGTCCGTAAACAATTAAACACTTTCAACTTCTTCTCGAAAACCTCTGATTCGATTTCAATGAAATTCTGAAGAAACCTTCCCTGGCTTAAGATGAACCAAAATTATTTATTATGAAGTCCCCTTGTCCCCAGGAGCCTGAAGGGCGGGGCCAAAAGAAATCAAATTGACTCAGATTTTAAAAAATCTTCTTCTCAGGACCCAGATATGGTAGAATCAAATACTTTAATGAATGCAAGCAACGTAAGGTGCTTTACAAAAAATGTGAATTTAATAGCCCCAGGGTCTCACATTTCCCCTGGGAAGGGGGTAAATTTTATTATAGTTTATATAAGAAAACTAGATTTTTGAGCATATTATTGGTTATTTCCCACTGGAAATGTCTTTATAAGATTTACCGTTATAGGATGACAGTTTTGATTGTATGTATATATTGACACTGTCTATATTCAGTATCACAATTTCTGTTTCATGACACTTGATAAATATCCTTTAACCTCTATATTCAATATTGCTTATCTCAGGTGACCATCCAGAGTGCTAGGCCTCTTGGTTCAAATTACTATTTCATGGACGTATACACCTCAATAAATCCACTTATGCTTTCTATAACTCTTTTTGTATGACTCCATGGATTAATATTACCCATGAAATCTGCGTTATCACTTTTTCAAGAGAAAACTGTATGAATCATTCTTTAATTTCGTATGTAGGTTCCCTTTGGTCCCATGTTGTGCATATTTCATTTAAGAACAAAGCGAAAACAAAAATAGTTAACAGACACCCATCTTTGATTTGTACAGTTATAAATTGTTGTTACTCTAATTTTCTGTTTAGATATACATTGCATGTTGCGAATGGCACCTGGTTGTGCATTTCCACTTAAGATCATTTAAAAACAATACAGAAATTATTGTCTGGCAGCCATCTTGAGTTTGTAGAGGGTGTAAAGATTAGGCTAGACTCATCTGTAAGAGATTAGAACGGTAGTTGTTGAATTTTCCTTTTGTAGAATTCCTTACTTTCTCTGAAATGTAATTTTATTGATGTATAATCTGTAAAATATGGTGAAATTGTGATGTTTGTCTGTAGTGAAAGTTTCCTTCAATAATTTTGTTACAGACAAGCAAAGAAGGTCGAGAATATCACAGGCAGGTATTCCAATCCTGCACTGAGGTGATGCTGATGGTCCAGGTGACTACCATTCTCCTTTTCAATTCAGGACATCAGAAGCATTGTCCAAATAAGCACATTTATAAATTGATATGATAGATGTACATACGCCAGGACAATTTGGATTACTACTCTTATTGTGCGAGAACTTCACTTTTTTCCAAATTGAATGACATTGTTATACTATAACTTATGTAAGTCTTCAGATTGTTTCAGACACATTTGACAATTAAGTCATGAATTCAACAGATCAGTTTCATTTATTTTGATATATAGTATCACACAAATATCCCTAATGCTTTAAACTGTACTTCTCATGTTATCTGACCTGAAGGGTTATGATGACCTATAGCCATTGTGCTTTGTCCGTTATCGTTCGTCATATGCCGTCAGGCGTGTGTAAACTTTTAACGATTTAAACTTTTTTATGCCCCCGCCATTTATGGCTGGGGGCATATAGCGTTGCCCATGTCCGTCCGTCCCGTCGCGTCGCGTCCCGTCGCGTCCCGTCGCGTCGCTTCCCAAATCAGTATATACCACCTAACAACTTCATTCGGACCTTTCACTATTATTTCACATGGAGGGGCGGGGGCATTCATGTCTTACAGACATTTTCTAGTTTAAAATTCCATCAGTGGGATTGAGCTCAAACTTGCATGAAATGATCCTGAGATGGTCTTGACCTAGTGTTCAAGTATGTCTGAAATCCAAGATGGTCACCATGGCCGCCATCTTGAAAAACATATGTTAAACTTCTTCGCCAGTTTCACTGGTGCCATTAATCTACAGATTGGTGGGAATGTTAAGAAAAGGTAGCCAACAAAGTATTGTTATTTTCGACCTTGTCAAAACTTCAACATGGCAGCCAGGGAGGCCAGTGCAACACCTATTTCAAACTTCTCAAGTTTCATCAGTTAGATTGAGCTCCACCTTTACTGTCAAAAAAATAGGTAACACATGTTACAGTCACCTACTCTTCACCACAACTACCATCTACTTCATGGGAAACAGCTTCTTAGTAAGATTTCATTCAAAGTAGAAAAAATAACCCTTCTCCCTGCTGAATGTTTTTGTAGTCAGATGACCGTTAAGGCCTGTGGACCTCTTGTTATATTTTTATTTTGTAAAATATCTGAGTAAAAAATATGTATGTATAAGAATTTTCTTATTCATTTGAAACCAAAGGGGGAAATGAAAAAGACATGTTGTTTCAACGATACACTTGATCAAATTAACTATAAACTTAAGTTTGACAATGTGGTAAAATATTTACAAGTAAGAAATAAACCAATCACGTCAGTATCAACTTTTATCATTAGTCTAAAAATATTTGTGATGTATCATTTATCTCCCAGGAGCTTCCTGTGCCAGTTATTGCCCAAGTATCAGGCAAGTATTTAAACTTTGAAATTTATAAAGCTTGTAAATGACAAAATTTATTTATCTTTGTAGTGATAGGTGTTATAAATTATGTAACAAAATGAGTGAAAAATGGGTTTAATGGTAACTTTGGAATAGTGTGTATCGTAGAGAGCAGCATCTTAGTTTAAAGTACATCAGGTCAAAAGTCAGTTAATGCTGGACCTATGTAAACAATCCCGTGAGTGACAGGTAGTGATGCACGCCTGATAACGGGCGGGGTGTGTACCCCAATGTTGATGCCCCGTGGCAGAATATCGCCAGTATGATTATCAGGACAGATAGAGGCTCTCTTTTGTATGTCTTGTGCTCTCAAACACATAGGTAAGTAAACAAGCTAAAAAGCAATGGATGGTTGTGTGCTATGACTTATAATAAACAATAAACAACCAGTCTAGTGTTATCAAATGCATTTGTGTGGTCACTATACGATGCTATGTAACAATGACATAGGTTTTCAGGCAGATATATTGTGTTCTACCTACCTAAGTCTTTATCTCTGTGCAAAATGGACATAATAACCATCACATTGAGAAATATTTTATTTTTTTTTTGCAATATTAAGTTGAATGTGTTTGATGCTTATTTGTTTGCCTGTTTGTTCCATTTCTGAATACCTTGGTCTCATTTGAGAATGTGGCATTACTTTTACTGACCAAAATTTATATGGCGGGTGTTATCAATGAAGAAGAAGATGCTTACTCTTCTGGAACACTTTGTCTTATTCTATTTGTAGTTTTTCTGAAATCTCTGTAAATATGTCAAAAAGCTATTAATTAAGTTTTTGAAAGATTTCGACAGGAAATCCCCTACAAATAGGAAAGATTGATGGTCCTTTACATGATAATTCTATTGGTTCTTAAAATCTGTTGCTTCAATAACTTTTATAACATTATGTATTCCTTTAAACAGAGCTAGAGCATGTAATTTTAGTGCTCTCTCTACAAAAACAGTTTATTCTGGGTTGGAGTTAAAATTGTACAAATATTTAATACATTCTCATTACATTAGGATTAGCTACTGCAGCCGGATGTCAGTTGGTAGCTAGCTGTGACATCGCCGTGGCAACAGAAACGTCTAGATTTGCGACGCCAGGGTAATATTTGTTTTAAGCTTTTTTGGTGTTTTAAGGAACCTGCAAGTGTGTGGGTTTATTACAGATAAAGATGATAATGGTATGTGATTAGTGACATCGTCTATTTTCAGGGTTAGTGTGGGATTATTTTGTTCAACCCCTGCAGTAGCTGTCGGTCGTTCCGTGCCCAGAAAAGTTGCCATGGAGATGCTATTTACAGGACATCCAATATCAGCTCAGGGTAGGTGCATGCATCTTTAACAATATTTTGAATATGTGATTCCATGGTTTACTGCATAAAACAAACAAACCTGTAAAGGCAATATTTGTTCTATACAGACTGCATTCATCCACAGGTATTTGTTATATACAGGTATGTAGTCTTATAGAGAGGTTTTTTGTAACTTATGGCCTTTGTATTCAGGTATTTATTGTGTACAAATGGCCTTTAAATACTGGTGACCTTTATAGACAGTGTTTGTTATATACATGTGACCTTTGTAGACAGGTGTTTGTTATATACAGGTGACCTATATCAGTCAGGTATTTGTTTATACAGCTGATCTATATAGGCAGGTATTTTTTATAAACAGCTGACCTATATTGAAAGGTATTTGTTATATAAAGGAGGCCTTGTTAAAGAGATATATACTTATCACATACAGGAGCCCATTATAGAAAGATAGTTGTCATAATTAGATGGTCATGGTTGACAGGTAGTTGTTGTATATACATGGTTTTTGTTAACAGGTAATTGTAATATACCAATGGTCTTTATAGAGAGGTATTTGCTACATATAGATGACTTTATTTGACAGGTATTTATTCTATACCTGTGACCTTTATGCACAGGTAAATTTTATAGACAACAATTCGTTAAAGCTAAGGCAGGTGATATTTTATACTGGGGCCCTGTATAGTCAGTTACAAGGGGTTTGTTGTAGTCAGATGGCTTTTATACACAGTTATTTGTTAAATACATATGATCTTTATAGGCAGGTTTTTGTTTTAAACAGGTGACCTTATTCAACAGTTTTTGTATAGTGGTGACTTTTTTTTAGATAATTACAGAGTGTTTTTGGTATACAAATGACCTTTATATACAATCATATGTTATATGCATGTGGTCTGTATAGACAAGTGTTCGTTTTATAGTGATAGCCTTTATTGACAGGTGCTTGTTTTATAATGATGGTCTTTATAGATAGGTGTTTGTTTTGTGGTGATGACCTTTATAGATGGGTGCTTGTTTTATAATGATGGTCTTTATAGACAGGTGTTTGTTTTATAATGATGGCCTTTATAGACAGGTGTTTGTTTTGTAGTGATGACCTTTATAGACAGGTGTTTGTGTTATAATGATGGCCTTTATAGACAGGTGTTTGTTACAGGTACTTATGCCTTTGAGGCAGGTTTGACAGTAGATTGAATGTTCCCCCTGTTTGAAGGAGATAAGTAAATCACATACATAACTATATCTAATGATTTAGCATTGTAACCAAGAATGTAAAATATTATTATTTTCATTCTCCCCTTCCTCTTTAAAATAAAGTCTTAAAGGGGGCTAAACATTGAAAGCTTATTAATCACAAGCATATGGTATACAGATGCATACTTATAATTATATTAACATTGGGGAAGGTTTTTTTAAGAATGCCCAGTTCTTTTATACTTTTATAAAACAGTATATTTTTTCCTTTGGATGGAACAGATGCTCTACTACATGGCCTTGTCAGTCGAGTGGTACCAGAAGACAAATTGGAGGAGACAGTAAGTCAGCTTACAGATTGAACTTTTTGCTTTGATTAAAGATAATATTTTTTTAAGTAGAAGTGTGGTAAATATAAACACAGTGCAATGTAAAACGATGATCACTTATGATACTGTTGTAGTACAGGTTTCTATCAATGCATAAGAAATAATATTAATGTCTAGGGGCAGACATCATCTTTAAAGTATATTTGTTTATTTCCTTCACAGACAATGGGGATAGCCAATCGTATATGTGAGACCAGTAAAAGTGTAGTGGCTCTAGGGAAGGCGACATTCTACACTCAGATGAACCTAGAGAGGAAAGAGGCATATACGTAAGTTTTTTTATAGCATATTTGTATTATGTACCAGGGCTAGAAAAAAACATTTTCAGCTACTCGTTTGTCGGGCAAGAGAAACTTGAAATTCACATGCCCGAATCCAACATTCACTCACCCGAAGAAAACAGGCAACAAAACATAATTTAAGGAACACAAATTTTATGATCATTTTCTGTATTAAATGTTTGAACTCAACACTTGCTTTTATTGTTTTACTCATATTTAATTCACTGTTAACTCGAGCGAGAACATCGACTTTTTGACAGTAACTACGTACACAAAACAACCTTGTTTACAACATTTGTGGTGACGTAATAGGTTTTCGTGTAGTCTAGATCAGCCTGAGTCTTGAAACGTGGTGTAAACAAGGATCCTACATCAATGTATTTGATCGACTGTCAGTGGATTTAAATTAGTTTTAAGAGTGTTTAAGTTGATAAACCTCATTTATTATGGAATATTCAATAGTCAGAACTACCAATTTCACTCGCCCACCGGACAAGTAGCTGAAACAAATAACTTGTCCGCAAGTACCTTTCACTTGTCTAGACGAGTGGATTTTTATGCTAAGAGCATTTTCAATGCTCTTCAGCATGTTGCTGTCGCCCCTGGCCCTGAGTATCAGTACTTCGTTTTCATTGGTTCATAAATCGAAAGTTTACTCCTACTCCATCTGCCGGACATTACCGTAATCATTGGATTATCGCCCCTACAAGTTGCTGATCCTAGTCATTAAATGAAACAACCTTATCGACATTTTCTTCATTACTTGTACATCAAGAAAACGTTTTGTGTCGTGTATTAATAATAATCAGACATCGAAATTTGTAAATACAGTGACGAAGACTCACGTTTTATGGTGGTAAATTTTGCGAGGCGATGCCAATATGGCGGCTTAACTTTCTTTTCCGCGCGATGCATTGTGGGTGTCATATATCTTTCTTTTTTTTTTTTTCGAAAATTTTCATCCCGTTTAATACTGTTGAAAACTTTTGAAAATACTGAAATATGTAGTTGAAAATAAGAATGAAACTGAAACAAGAATGATTTAGAGTAGCATAAAATTTTGACGGAAACAGCCGGGGTGCTCTTTGCTGCTGGACCCTGAAAGAAGACGGCGGCAGAAAGAAGATGGCGGGTATTTGATGCAAGTAAGTATCACTATATATATATAAGCTGAATTTAAAGTCAATACTTCTACTGAACTAGCAATTGCAATTTTGCAAAATACTCATTTGAAATGAGCTATCGCAGGTATTGAATTTAGGCTCGACGGCGACGTGCAAGCTGGGCACTGCCGCTATGGCACTTTTTTCAAAATATTTTCAAGACTTTTCCTTTGAAGCAGTATGCATTTGAAAAATGTTATGTAAGCATCTGTTGCTTCCGTAAAGTATTTCAGTGTTTTGAAATAAATTTATTTTTGAATGATCGTGAGTGGCCCAACAGATCGGAAATTAAACAGAAAAAAACTTATCCGTAATATTGTACTGTACTACTTATGCTACCGTGAATAAATCTAGGAATCTTTCTATGTAATATATCGATTTTACTTTAAAATATCGGTCACTGTCCGTGCTATTGTAGATCTAGCTCTTTCAAATTTCTGATCGGAGATAATTTATAAGTACCCCAAGTCCAGGGTATGAAATCGTACGGGAACTCTAAAGCTATGCCAATTGAAGTTTATATATATAGTTTTAGCTTAAATTTAGTTTTTGTCTTTCTGACATGATGTCTCGTTGATTCTGTTGAAGAGTGATGCATGTGAACGATTACAATATGAAGATTGGGAATAATGAAGATGTCAATTAACATCTGAATCCCGGAAAGTGTTTTAATGAAGATTAGGATAGGATAAACCTAGCAAAGTGTTAGGTCCCATTGGTACAATTCTTATTATGCCTGAACTTTTAATAT